ATAGTATATATAGTAAAAATGTATTTTATATATATAAATTTATTTAATAATAATTTAAATTGTACCAGTATACTATCAAATTTCTGGTACTCTTAGTTCTACAGCCATGCTGGATTAACCATTTTGGTAGACCAAACATAGTTATGTATAATACTAAGCAAATAGAGAATATTTTGTCTCTTTGCTTCTTTATATCATAAAAATTGATAAGCCAATACCAGAGATGTCACACAGCCTATGCACCAAAATACCATGATTTATTTTTTTCAGTTGTTCTACTTTATCTTGGATCAGTATGAACTGGTGTTTATGTTTGAAGTTACACTGACATTCACATCTCTCTTAGAACTCATAGCTAAGGTTAAATTTAAGAAAAATAAACTAAGACTATCACAAAATTGCAGTATCACCACCAACAAGTGTACTGTGAATAATGTAAAGACATATGCATACACACAATGCCATCCAGTAAAATAGTCTGGTGGCTGCAAGAATTTCAAGTTCCCTCACAATTTTTGTTCAGATTAAAAGAGATGCTAGACCATCAGTTGCTAGAAATTAAGTGTTGTACCTGTATATGAATGAGTCTGATTAATATAAAATAGATTTTTGTACTGTAGCCTTTAAAAAACAAAGCAAATAAATTAGAATTGTAATAACATCATGTTTAGTTTAAACTCTGTTAGTAAAATGGCACAAGTGTGTATAAACAAGGAGAAACATTGTATAAGTAAGGTTCAAAGATTGAAAATACTCAGTGAGTGGAAGAAATGACTAGAACTCAGATTTAAAGAAACTGCCATAAAAAGAAATTTCACATTCTGGTTGCTTATAAAGAGCCATGACATTGTTCTGGCATTTTAAAAAATGCATTGATGCAAAATTCATATCATCACTGTTAAAAAAGTGACTCCTTGTTCCAGCATTATCAACATATCATAACATGTCATAATTGTTTTCTGTAATAATTGTATTCTGTAATAGCAAATAAATAGTTCAGGATATGACTAAATATGTGTAATAATCAAGAAAATGACAAGGCTTAGTTATTTTTGCAGAAATTGTTGGTGATAAAGTCATAATTACTCCAGATGTTATATTTGAGAATGAATTAAAAGGTAGTAAACTTGAGTGCACATCGTGTACATTGATGATGATGATGTCACAGTTGTAAACTGACTGTGAGCATAGAACTGTTCAAATAAGCCTTCTATGGTGTCCAACTGATAAAACCCAGACACATTTGCTAATATGACATTAAATCGAAACTGATGAATGAATGAGTTGACCTTGAATTGACTCTCTCTTTTTTTTTTAATAAAGTTAGGATGGCATATTGTTGTGATAAATATGCCTCATGTTGTTTCAGCAACAATGCATTGTAGTATAAATCTTCCCAACAGCTATATGTAATTTGCTATATATTTTATGGACTTATCACAGCACAGTTTTCAATTGGAAAGCTCATTGGGATTTTATTAAACAAATATTTTGGGCTATATACCCTTCTTCAGTTGATATTTAATATTAAATTTTAAGTTTCAATTCGCAATCAACATCCTTCTTTATTTGCACTGTAATGCATTGTAGTATATTAATAACGCTGGAATACGTTGTGATAATTTTTTAAACAATTTTAAAAAATGCCAGAATGTATCATCACTCTTTATAAGCTGCAAGTCACAAAATTTCTTGTTTCTGTAGAGCCAGAATTCATTAGGGTCTTTTTTTCACTTATTGAGCATGTTTGATCTTTTAGCCTAACATATATAATTATTTTAGTGATGTAAAGAGTAAGAATTTATAGTCAATAGCAAAAAATTTTAATGTTGATTTACATCCATTTATGGAGGTTCAAAGATTTAGTTTATATGCTGATTGCTCAGCATATAAATCTTCTAAACTAAATCTTCTGAGAATTGTTATGAGAGGAGGGAATTATTGGAAACTTATCATCTTTTAAGATTAAATTTCAAGTAGGAATGTGTAATTGTATGAATTAATGTGTGGACTGATAAAGGAAATGAATGGAAGAGAACTAAGATGCATATATGGGTGTTCCCATACTTATGAACAGGTTAGGTTGCTGATTTTTGTTGTAAGTTGAAAACTAACCTAAAAAGTACATTTTTATACAGAATAATCATATACTGTTAGTGTTTGATCCTTCAATAGAATATATTACTATTGTACAGTACTTAATAGAATATATTACACTTGTTTACTCACTTGCTACTGCTTATTAACAAGTATTTCAAACTAGTTTTACCTAACACACTTAGTTTTATAATGCCCAGTTTAGTTTAAATGGTAATTGAACAACACTTCTTGTATTTATATCCACTACTAGATTTACTACTGTTTTGGACATATTTTTGAAACGCTAATCATAAAAGTTTATAAAAATTGTAAAAAGTAGTGAAAATCATCATTACTCTAACATTACCAACTTTAATGCCATGTTAAGAGCATCAAGGAAATCTCAGAATTCACACAAAAAATGGAAAATGATGATACTTATAGGAATAAACCCACATAAGTTTATTTATTCCTGACCAAATACTGATTCAACACCACCTCATGAGTATCTCGAGAACTTCAGAATCTGTGCGAAATTTAAATTTCAGAGGTACAGTCAACTTATGAACAAATTGTTCATAAGCTGAATGTTCATAATTAGGGGATCACCTGTATGTGTGTCTTTAGTGGTTTCGGTAAAAATTGCAACAGTTGAATCTGTGGTACTGTACATAAAGGAATATTCACATATATGTTTTTGGTGACTTTTTCTTTTGTTTAAGTTATTTGATGAGTTTTTAATCATGAGTTAAAATTGACAAATGATTTGTGGGCTATTTGTGATTAGAAATCAATTTGAAAGTGGGTGTGGGTTATGCAATGGTGTGGGTTATGCAATGGTGAAGGTTACCAACACAAAGTTATGATAGTTTAAAATGGACTTACTATGGACTTCATGTCTTAACTGAATTATGACTTTTTATTTGTTGTAATTAATTTTTTTTTAAATCCTGTTATAGATGATTTTATTTTGAAATTTCAAATAATTTCCAAATTAATTTAATTATCTGATTGTGACTGTGTAACTGAGACATGAAATATGCAAAGAATTGATAATTCAAATAATCATTTTCCTGGTATCTTTATTTAATCTTTTTAAAATTAGATAATTATACAGATATATATTATTGGATATAATCTGTATAACTAATTCATTTAAATAACTATTTAGATAAAATTTTGAAGAAACTAGTAAAATATTATTTTGAATTATTATACATTTGTATAAATGTATTGTATTATATTTGCATAAGTAGCAATAATAAGTAGTATATAGAGTTTGATTTTTAAAAACTTGTTTTCATATTATTCAGATAAAAGTACAAAAAGTTTAATCAAATGTATAATCATCTGATTCAAAGTTCACACACACACACACACACACACACACACACACACACACACACACACACACACACACAACTATACATTGGTACCATTTTTTTTTCCAAAATTTATAGATGAGTTTAGTAAATAAACTTGGGTGTCAGTACCAGTTCTTTTGGTGCAGGCAGTGACATAATATAGCAAAGACTTACGGAATAATTAGTATGTGCTATCAAAATGTTGGAAAAGAAACTTTTATAAGGTCTTGCAAGCCTTTTAACTACAGTCTTTTGTAAGGATATAGCTGTTGACTGCTTTATATATTGGAAATTGGTAACTATAATAGCTCACAAGTTATTGGCGTGTGGAGCCAGGTCCGGTGTGACCTTTTGCAAGGCCAGAATACACATTCAAATCCTATACTTAAATTTCACAATAAGGAATTATTTATTATAAGTACAGAGGATGTTGCATATATTTTTTGTAAGATGAATATTACATAATTTTTCTTGCTTTTTTTGCCACAAAATCTTTGATTATGTCATCAAAACTAATTGAGTTTGATACTTTGCTTTCTATTGAAAGAATAGCCAGAGATGTAAATCGGTCTTGCCTTACTGATGATCGAAGATAATTTTTTATTAGTTTCAACTACGAAAAACTACGTTCAGCTGAAGCCACAGTTACTGTCATAGTTAACATTATTTGTAATGCAATTAATAAATTTGGGTATGTTGACATAAACGTTGGCAGACATGCCAATGTTTGATGTCAATATAAAAAAAAAGGCAAAAAAATTAAGTTTTATAAAAGCCAAGAATTAACAAATAATTTTGACAAATTGAAATAAGTCTTTAAATCTCAAATGAAAGAATCATAAAAAAATCTTTAAAAAAATTGTCTGTCATAATTATAATGCCTTCATTTTATATTTTTAAACATCTTTAAATGTTGATTAGTGTTATTTCTTAACAAGCATTATTACTATTTAGTTAATTCAAATTTTTTACATGCTCTTTTATTCTCATTTTTATTTTTCCAGTTGTTATATATAACAAAGGAAAAATATGGCAATCCATCAAAAAATGACTCCCCAAGACTTACATTTTTGGACTTGGGATTTCGAAACGTTGAAAAATGCAAAAAAATTTGGGAGTTTTTTCTGTATTGTTTTCTGTGTTGGATGTTTTTGTTTGTTTGTGTCTGTGTGTGTGGCACGATTTAGTTCACTCACTTTGAAGCTTAATAACTCCTTTTGTCAAAAATTTCTGAAATTTTGCAGGGAGAATTGTATTTAGGGGATGATTGATGCTGGTTAAATTTTGGGGGTGAAAGGTCAAGGGGTGGGAGATAAAGGGTTTGTGTTGTATTTTGAGTGGAAATGGACTTAATGAAGATTTTATTTATTATTACCCATTTGTGTATTTTAAGAAACTCATCTCTATCCTCAAAATTAAGCTTTTTGTCATTTTATGATGATGATATTAAAACTTTTAAAATAAAATCTCATAACAGATGGTGCTGTACACAATTTTTAACTCTTGCTGGGAAAGTTATGCAATTTATTACTGAATTTTTTTATATTAATTGCTCACTTATGTTGTTTTATTATAATCATTTACAACTATTGTAGAACTTACAGTAAAACAGATTTTATGAGGTGGAAAATAAATGCTGGCTGTTGCAAACATAATCCTATTAAAATAATTATAACTGAATTATATCTTGTTCATAACTTATGGTAAAATTGGTTTAGTTATATGTTGTCTTGCTTAATGTTGCAGTTTCCAAGGACCTGTCGATGACATTGAGGACTGTATCTAATTATTTGTATTAAATGTGTTTTCATGAATTTGGAAATTACCATTAAATATTTGAAATAATTGATAAATTTTGTGTGTGTGTGTGATATTTAATTTTTTTCAGCTTGGTTATAATCAACAAAGTGGATTTGGTTCTCCTCCTCCAAGTTCGACAAGACCGCCTCATTCATATTTGTCCAGACCAAATTTGCCAGAAGGACCTGTTGGTGGAATAACAGGATATGATCCAAGTTTACATGCCAAAATGGCAGGAATGAGTGTGCATAGTAGTTTTTCTAGAATCTGGGTAAGTGATAAATATTTATTGTTTCTCTCTTTGTGTGTACAAACTTAAAAACTTTTGGTGTTAACAAGAAAGTTATTCGTAAAGACAAAATAAGCAAAAAAATACATTCAACAACAATCCAAAATAAACCTTTACCATCAGAATTCTTTATTTTTCAACCATTTTTACTGTTTTTACATCATCATCAGATTACTTCAAATAGAATATTCAATTTAAAATAAAATATTTTGGAGAGTTTTTCAATGAATTATATGAATCAATTTGAATTATATAAACCAAAAGTAGCAAAAATTTTGACTAAAATGTGGATAATAAAATCACTTTTTTGCCTTAAAAAGAGTTACCTCATTAACTGACCTGAACAATCAATATGCAATGCAGAGAAAATGTTTTAGAAGGTAACCTCTGAGGTTTCATACTGAAACATCCTTTACATGTAAATCAATTAAATTCAAATGAAAAAGGATTAAGATGTTTCAGTATCTTCAAATAATAATCATTTTTAAAGCTGTTTTTTATTTTATAAATACATTGTATTGTGTATTTTCTACATAATAACAATGTATTCTTCTCAAACTGCAGTTAAATAATAATCAAACCTCCACAAAAAAAAAAGACTTTTAAAATGCAGATTTTTATTAACTTTTCGAACGTTTTTGGCTATTTGAATGACCTTCCTCGGAAATAAAAATTCAAATGTTTTGAATTTTCATTATTTTCTAGATGAATTTTTATTCATGAGGAAAGTCATTCAAATGGCCAAAAACGTTCTAAAAGTTAATAAAAAGCTGCATTTTAAAGGTTTTTTTTGTCGAGGTTTGATTAATAACAATGTATTTTACAAAGTACTGAACAAAATAGACTGATTTTTATTAGTCATTATTTTGCTTTTTCTAAGGAAAAGCAAAATAATTGCAGCTTTGTAGAGTTATTATTTTGATTCCTAAAATAATTAATTTTATNTCCGAACAACCCAATAACCAAACTTTGACAAAAAACCTTTAAAATGCAGCTTTTTATTAACTAATCGAACGTTTTCAGCATTTGAATGACCTTCCTCGGAAATAAAAATTCAAATGTTTTGAATTTTCATTATTTTCTAGATGAATTTTTATTCGTGAGGAAGGTCATTCAAATGGCCAAAAACGTTCTAAAAGTTAATAAAAAGCTGCATTTTAAAGGTTTTTTTTTGTCGAGGTTTGATTAATAACAATGTATTTTACAAAGTACTGAACAAAATAGACTGATTTTTATTAGTCATTATTTTGCTTTTTCTAAGGAAAAGCAAAATAATTGCAGCTTTGTAGAGTTATTATTTTGATTCCTAAAATAATTAATTTTATGAAATTAACTAAAACAAAAATTTATAGCGTTATCACGATTTACAAATATTCATTGTATAATGAAGATTAGTAGAAAAAACTCTGTTTATGATGATAAAACAGGTTTTAATGAATAAGCAAAACATATAACTTAACAAAATGTAAGAATACTTTTAGTGATATGCATGCTTTTCATCATCGGGTAAATTGAATACAGAAAGGTACCAAAAATGACATTGGAGTGGAAAATCACTGCCTTCTGCATATCATTGTGACAATAACAAGAAATTGTATGTGATTGCATACATAAGATGGTAATTTTCCACATTGGATTTTTGAAGGCCTGTGATAAATGGAAAAAATTTTTTTTAATCAAAATATTTACATAGATAGCGTGTATCATGAGGACATCATAAAAGCACAGCGAAATAAATAAATTTGCTTTAAAATGTCCATAAAAAACTAGTAGGTGTAGAAAGTCACTGCTATTACATTTGATGTAGGTTAATAAAATATTGTAACTAATTAAAATATTAAAGGTTTGAAATGCAATATAGCTAAATAATGGTACTATATTGTATTATGGTATATATGCACAATAACTGATTATTATGTATGTATATATTGTAATCAGTTATTGTATATACATATATAAATCTAGTGTATTTTGTAGGCTTATTAAGTGGCTTTGAGTGCCATTTATTTATTACAATTATTTTTTTTATGTTCTATTTAATCAAACCAATTAAAGATGAGTTCAAAAAGGAACTTTGTCATAATTTGTGGATTACTTATATTTTAGTAGTTATTAAAAGCATCATGAATGTATTAATTTTTTATGCTTTCAATGATGACTTTCATTTGATTTTTGAATTTTCCTAAATTAAAAGTAAGCTTTTCTTTTTGTTAATAACTGTGTTTATGATAATGAGTGGTAGACTATTTCGATTTTAGGTAAATTCATTAATGATAAATTAGGTAAATGAATAAATAACTTTTATGAAATTTTTAAGTTCTGTGGTTGAAATGGCAATTGTGTTAACTTGAAATGCTTTTTTTTTAAAAAATAAAAAAGAAATAACCTTTAAACCTTTAATCACACAAACCATAAGTTTTTAATTATAACTTTTTTTCTGTTTAATAATAAGATGTCTTGCTTCTAGAGAATCCAGTGAAAAAATTTTAATTTAGTTTATCTCTATAAACTGCTATTTATATACATTCTGTAAATATAAACCTCATTTTTGGAAATGCATTTTCTGATTGACTGCTTTCTAGTCTCTCTTTATTAAAATTTTGTTTTTAAAAAATGTAAACTATTACAAATTTTAGAAACTTTTATCTTTATTTTACAAACATCCATTTCTTTCTTGTTTTTTCCTAATTTTCTCAACTGTACTTTACTTTCTCTCCTTGAGTTATGCACATGTCTTTCCACAGCATTCTCTTGCATTACATAATCCTTTCAAATCTTACCTTATTTTTATTAATGTTTACTGATTTTTTTATTATTGAACAGTAATTAGTTTGTTGAGAAGTTAATTTAAAATAATAAAAATGATTGTAGCATTTTTCTTCTGTTGTGATGATTTTTTTAAATTTTATATTTCAAGGGTAATGAAAGTGTTAATTTGCTTCAAGATAGAAATATTTTACCACCAGTTCCAATAGAACCTCCTAAACCAGCAGTTCTCCAAGATAAACAGAATTGTAATCCAGAGTAAGAAATATTTAAATATTGTTAAAATAAAAATATTTTAAAAATGATACTGTTAGTATTTAGTATAATAGAATTACTATCTTGTTTAATAAATATTGCATGTAATAAAATCAAGGCTGCAAGTGGCTTTTTATTTTTAGTTACTATTTTTTGCTATTTTCAGTATTAGGTTACTTTTTATTACTGTTTGTCTCTCAGCAGTACACATTTAGTATCAGAATATAGATTAAAATATGCATTATTATTGAAATAAAAGAAAAAGCAGTAGACACAAAACACTCAGAAAAAACATCATTTATAGTCATACTTGGAAACATTTGCATTTTCACAGGTGACATTTATCCTGTGAGGTCTAGAAACAGTATTGTATCTTGTACTTGACCTTTCTTAGTGCAGATTGCTATGAATATGTATAAGTACCATTGGTGGATGACATAGAAATAGGCAGCTTACTGAACTGCTGACTACTTACTTGTATGTTGTCTGATCTAGAGATACTAAACAAAAAACATTGCAGCTGGTCTGTAGTCTGAATGAATTGGAAAAATTAACTTTGTAGCATTGTCAGAAAGGTGGATTGCATTTCCATTGTCTTGTTTATTTTAGAGATGAGTGTTATGCACATTATATAATTTTTGCAGTAAGTTATCAACCTCATGATCTCAATCTAACAATTATCAGAATTTCATTTATAATTTCTAAGACAAATTCAGATATATTTGATGTACCAAGTACTTTCCTACTTGCTGAGATTTTGATGTATGATTGTCATCAGGCATCAAGGTTATGTCTAACAGGCAATGATGAATTCTAATAATGACTAATTCAAATAAGAAGAGTCAGAGCTCCATAAATTTACAATAAATACCAAATGCACACTAAGCTATAAATATTACATGCACACATTTTAAGAAGCTAGAAAATTTTTTAATTTTAGAAAGATTAATGTTTTGAAAATATTTACAATTCCATCATCAGAACTGCTTGAAAAAAATAATGTTCTAAACTCAAATCAAAATGTACAGATATGCTTATGCATATATATAACTTGAATTTGATACTTACAAACAAAATTTTTCATCAACATTACTCATTATTTTATCTGTCGTATATATGAACAAACTGATTCATGATAATTTACTATTACTACTTGCATTAAAACAATGTGTGTGTATGTGAATTCCTTAAAACTCCTGCAATTTTTGTCCCATCCAAATGAAATTTTGGTTATATTCATTTTATGTTCAATGGAAAGTACAGGCTACTTATTTTGAAGAAATATTAGCTATAGAATAAACATTTTATCAATTTTGGATCAGTGATTGCACTTATGTTGCAGTGATGTCAGTGACCATGTGATCTTCATGCTTGGCAAGGGAATTTCTGTTAAGTTACATTTTTAAATATTTTGGCAAATGGCATATTTTAAACTTACTTCATTAAATTTAAAAGTGATAGCCACATCATGTCACTTCTATAACAAATTTAAAAAAAAAACTTTTCATAGTGACCATGTGACTATCTATTAGCCAATCAAAAGTAACAATATAATCACCAAATGATTGCCTAAATATCGGTTTAGGCAATCATTTGATGATTTATTGTATACTACTCAGGCTTTGCGATGTTATTATACAATCTAATGATACCATTATTTAGACAGTGATATCACTCATCTAATTAATGTACTGAATGTACAATTCATCTTTGTTTTACCAATTTGGAATTAAAAGGAATCTCTACTTTGTAAAAAAAAAAAAAAAAATATATTTAGGGAAAAGTGTAAGAATAAAATTGGTCAGGCAAATTGTAGATCTAAGAGAATAAGAACAACTGAGACACCAGAAGGTGTCTCAGTTGTTCTTATTCTCTTAGTCTCAGTTGTTCTTATTCTCTTAGAACTTCAACTTGAGCAAAATCGATAAGAATGGCTTTGTCAAGAGCTGCAGAAACAGCATCACAACATCAAGCTCAACTTGAAGCATGCTTGATGGGAGAATTTCTAGTTGTTATATATTAATAAAATAAACAGATACCAGTTGCTTCTTCTAATGAAACCTTGACTATTCTGTAGAACAATCCTATTAATACATCTGTTTTTACCATTTATCAGATTATTCAAGATGCCTTCTGTGTATAAATGTTTTTGTTTATTTATTTATGATGTGAAACAGTTAAACTTAAGCACACAGTGACAACACAAAAGTTATTTCATCTCTCAACTTTATTACAATGTTTTATGGAGTAGAGTATGATTATGAGATCAAATTGATGTATTTTTACTGTACACAGCTGTCAGAAGACACTGTAACAATTTAAATTCAGCTCAGTAATTCATATTAAATATTGTGCTTACTGAATTGTAGTTCAAGTTTGAAATTGAATCATTGTACTATTCACTAGTAATTCAATGTTTTGTGTAGCAGTATATTTTATTACTTTAAGTTAAATCTTTGAATTTGTAAATCATTTTAAAGTTACTTTTATTTTTTCAATATTTTAAAATTATATTTATTTAAATACTGAAATATTATTATATAGCATTTTCCGATGCACGTTGACAAAGATTCCCGAATCCCATTCTCTCCTTCAAAAGTCAAGGCTTCCATTAGGTATTCTGATACATCCTTTTAAAGATATAAAAGTAAGTTTTTAATTGGTAATCAATTTAATATTACATTAATAATCATGGTTTATAACTTACAATCTATAATTTAAGTTGAATTAAGAAACTCCTACTTCATTAATGTTTAAAGATATAACCATTTTACAGATAAAAACTATTATCTATACAGTTAGTTTCCATAATTATGCAGTGGGTATTTTCTGGAAATTAATGTGTAGAGAATATGCAAAAAGAAAATTACACTTATTACTGCTTAATTGATGATTGTCATTAAACAATTTTATGTGAATATCATAGTGTATACTTAGACAAACTTATTTGGTTTTGTATATATCTTATATAAGCTATTTGAAACACAATGATAACTATTTATGTATCTAAACATAGAAAATGTACAGATGATTAATGAATTTTTTTGGTTCTATTAAAATCTTACAGGACTTTCATCGTATGTGCATCTGCCATTATATGGAATGTCATTAAGCAGTGCATGCCTAAGGTGCATTAAGTGGTGTGGTCATATTTGATATGTACTGGTATATATTTCAATGTAAATGTGACCAGAGGGTCGGCACCTCTTCGATGTCCTGTCAAGAATGACACCACTGTGTCCCAATTGACATGGAAGCCGTGGTGGCAATTTGGATTAGAAAGTAGGTCACCTGCGTGATCGGATTTGGGATGGGGACCATGAGATAGTGGGCAGGAAGTGACTTATGCAGTGACTAGGTTAACTAAACAACTGTTTATTTATAAAGGAAAATACATTTTATATCATTAAACGAGTTATAAATTGAGCTAAAATAGGTATAGATACCGCTACATTTCTTGAGAGAGAGAGTTTATATGAAGTTCTTGTGGCAATAAATAACTGTAGTTGAAGGATCCAGTTGTAGAATTGATGCCGGAGAGGATTCGGTCTGTTCCTTAGGAAGATTAATTAAATGCGAAGGTTGACACATTAGAACAGTTCTGGATAAGGTGTATTCCAGGAGTAGATTTGAAGTCGATGAAATCTAGAATTATTTTGGGTTTGATAATGAAGTTATTCTGATTCAGATGCACAAATGTTTTGGGTCTGAGTCAATAGGGTAATTTGTTCAGAGCACAGATTATCGGTCGAGAAACTGGTGATGACTGCCTAAACTTGCAGTTCTTTGCTATATTGAACTGATAGAATTGAGACAGTAGGTGGGAAGGTTATGAGAAAGCATCACTTTTACTGCTGAGAACTTAACAAACAATTTACTTCCAGGTGTAAAAGTTGACAGTTATCTAACAAAATTTTATTGTCAAGACTTTGTTATGATTTAGTTATGTAAATAAATTATGTAGTGCGGAGTCTCACATAAAGTATTCTAGAAAACTTTTACATTCATCCAAGTAATGAAAAATTATTACAAGAAACTGGTTGAAACAAATAAGAACAAACATTTATAACATACTAGGGACTTTGCCTCTGACTTTTTTTGCATTACTTTGTAATACTTTCCATATATATTTTAACTTCTTTATAATTCTTTGTATACAACTTTAGTGCTCAAACTATATGGATGCTCAAAGAGATATCAATCACTTTGGATTTTCTGTAGTTTCTGTGAAAATCATCTGTAAATTAAAGACTTACAGATAACATTCTAAAAACTATAGAACAATCTTTAATACTCATGAATAAGCATGTTAATGCAACAACACATGTAGGTGTTAGTTAGTGCTTTGTCCACACAATCACCAATATGACAAATCACAATTCATAACAATAATGTGGAATGTACAGACAGGAAGTGGTTCCAGTTTGCTATTGGCTAACTAAGGGGTCTATCTAAGAATTATTCCTGTGCACAATCAAGTTGCACAGTTGTTCTAAAACTTTTCAAAAATGACTCATGCCCATGTCTAAAGATGATGCATGCTCTTTCAATACTATGATTGGGCATGTTGGAAAAGCTGAAGTGAAAGGCTGTGTAGTATGTACCTTTTTGTAGACAAAATGAAGGATTTTGTCAATTATTCAAATTATTCCATCAAATGAGAAATATAAATTTATTTTAAAAATCTGTTATAAAATAATTGATTCATAAATAAATATTCAAAATGGTAAGAACTTTGCAATAGAATAGATGTTTTTCTATTTATATATTTAATAACTTAAGATTAATTTTATAAATTTAATTAATTTATTATATATATAAAATACTGGGCTTAAAATCATCATGACACATTTTTCTATCGTGATACTATTGATGATTTATCACAAATCTTTAACAAGAAGATAAAGCCTGTTGGTGAATGAATGAAGTCACTTAGTAATGTTATTAATATTATCATCTGAAATAAGTAATAAAAACAAAAATTTTTAATATTTACTTCGTTTAATAAAACAAAAATTTGAGAACATTAGAATAAATTTTAGAATACACTTTATTAATATCTTAAAATTGGAGTAATGATGTATGAGAGATTGCTCCCATGCTCTCCAACCACAATATATGATAGTTACTGTGCTGCTAATAGATCTCTTCTCAGGTTGACATCTCTGTGATCATAATTAAAGAATATGTGTGTAGAGCTTACTGTAGAAACTATTAGACATATTTAAACCAAATTTGGTATACATGAGTAAGCAGTTCGATTTTTGGGAAAAAATTTTATTTCAAAATTCAGCCAGTAGAGCAAATTTGCTATTGTTCTCTCTCTTTAATGTGCATATGTTTATTTTCTAACAAATTTCAAAAGTAAAGAAACAAAGTGCAATAATTTTATTTCAATTACAGATTTGTATACAGATGTGAATTGAATTGATATTCACAGCTTTAACTTGCTAAAATATTCCTTTTGCATATTCAAAACTTTAAATAAACATATAAATGATATAAAAGGAATTCTCAACTGCAAACTCATCAGAGATAGAACGTCTAGGATCATCAAATATTTAAGGTGAAAAACCAAGTCATATCTAATTGACAAAATTTTCTTAATAAAATTAAAACTAATGAAGAAGGCTCAGAATAAACTAAAATGTTTTTATTAATAAAATGCAATAATAAAACATTAATTCTACTGAATTAAAACCAGTTTCAAAACTGGTTTGACATCTTATAAAAAGTGATGGAATATTTTAAATATTGTTGAAAACCTCTTTTTAAATATTTATATATAAACCTGTTAATCAAATTGAGAATTTCACATTTTTGCAAACATTAGTATGAATACATACATTGAGTTATCTCATATAGATTTTATTTCTAAGATTCTTATTAACACTTCATAATTTTTTTTTTCACTCACTCCATTTTCAACACTTCGTGCAAAATTTAAATTGTTGTTTATGAATATGAAATATTTTTAGAAAAAAATATACTTGCATTCTTTAGGTACATAAATTTAAAAGAAAAGAAATAACATGAATTAAAAAATTTTATGGATGTTTGTTCCTATATGATTTTTTTCCGGGATTAAAATTTAAAACAATTATAATTAATGAAAGTAAATATATTTTTTATTACAGCAGCTCCCAGTTGTACAGTGTGGTACTATAGTTCGATGCCGTTCATGTAGAACGTATATAAATCCATTTGTAATCTTTGTTGATCAGAGAAGATGGAAATGCAATTTGTGCTTTAGGATAAATGAATGTAAGATATGAGAATCTTAATTTCAAATAAATTATTTTATTTACAATATTTTATTATTATTAAATTAATTTGAAAGTAATATTAATTTTTTTATATACTGATAAATCTTACCCTATTGTTAATTGTATTAGATGCATTAGTGAGTAAAGATTCTTTACCATTTTCTGTATTTACATCTCCCTCACATTTTGTTTTTAACCAGTCTTTTCTTCTATTTTTTTAACATTTATCAGTAGGTCCCTATATCTAGAGTACCTCTTAGTCTACAATGAATTAATAACTGTAATTGATATATTATTTTTTATAGCATATTGTCATATATATATATATACATACACACTATCATTAACTTTAACACCAATATCCTAATTCTACTTTGATAAATGTTTTCAGTCCAATGATACATCTGCTTCAGGTCTATATAGCTTAACATTCTGTTTTGGAATGTATTGTACATGTGAATGTTAAAATATTTAAATTCAGAAATAAATTTGAAATTCAAGGTTGTTCTACATTTTGCACCTAGCATTATGTAATTATAGAATTACAGTGGCAACCATAAGTTTTTGAACAATTTTTTTGACAATAAAATATGTAATTGTTGTAAAAAAAATAAAAGACATGAATAATAAAGAATTCAACCCAATGATGCAATAATAATTGTCAAGGTTGGAATAAGCAAAATAAGTATGTTTCAAACTAATATGCAAATTTACAAGAGCAAAAGTTTTTGAAATGTAAATTTAATGACAAAATTTATTTTAAATAGAACAAAATTCAAATACAGTGGAACATTCCTTAATGAGTAATTCACATGATGAACAAAACAAATTGTAAAAAAAAAAAAATGACTTGCTTATTTCGCATAATGAGTAATGAGAAGATGGGAAATTCTGGATTGTGTGCATGCTATATCAGTCTGTGTTTATCACTCGTTCTGCTAGCATTTTAGTGTTGCTTGTGATCACACATTTTTCCAAACTTGTGTTCAGACATATTACATATAAACATCAACAACCATAGCCTGTTACATAATAAGCATGCCAAATGATATGCCAAATTCTTGGGCTATGTAAAGGCTATGATTAAATATTAGAAATTAAATAATTTGACTAAAGGTAGGCAGTTATGCTGCCATCTCGTATTAAATTTAACCCTTTGCTTCTGCCACCTTGTTTATGTTTGTCTTGCGTTCCCTCCTAAGGCAATATAGATCAGTCAGGCAATATTATTTTAAAAATTCACCAAAAATCAAATTATCATTATATTCATATGAAAAAAATTAGCTATATTTATTAATATCTTTCGTTTTAAATACGATATTTTTCAATACATTTTATTAGAAAAATTTATAAGAAAAAAAATTGCTAATAAAAAAAAATAAAATGTCAAAACTGAACAGCATAACTTGAGTATTTATAACACATTGACTTATTATAGCTAAATTAACTTATTATAGCACAAATGAACTTATTACAGTGATATTATTTCATGAATATGCTATAAATGAAATAAAAATTATCAGAAAATAAATAAATCAAGAAAAAAAAAGCATTAATTAATTAATTAAAATTTTTTAAGTCAACAAAACACCACCTGGAGAAAAATATGTAAAACAGACAATAGACAAGACTGTGCTGTCAAGTGCTGACATCTGTTGTCGATAAATTTTATAAAAATCGATTTTTACTAGGGTAATGGCGAATTGTTACCCTTGTAGTTTAGCTTAACAATGGAGGGGTAACGATCGATCAGTACTTTTGGAAGCAAAGGGTTAATGAACAGTTCCAAATTAAATTTTTTTTTTCTCTGTAAATTGAATTTGCATTCCAGGTTGGTTCGTTCCATGCTAGAAGAAAAGATGATGATGATTCACGCTCCTTAACAATGTATATTGTATAATTTTCTTTGAATAAATGTTATACTTAAAATATTTGAGTATTTTTTTTTTGCATGGAACACATTATTGTATTTTACATTAATTTATATGGGAAAAATTGTTTTGCTTAACGAGTGTTTCACATTATGAGTAAGATTCTAAACCAATTATGCTCATTAAGCAAGGTTCCATTGTAAATTAAATACAAATTAGTATTTTGTGGTATAACTTTTTGCCTTAACTTCTAAGCATCTTCAAGATATAGAATCTACAAAATTTTTATTGTTTTCTCATTGATTGCAGTCTACTGTACCTGCAATGATTCAAACAATGCAGCTGTCGAGGAGTGTGGTTTGTGCCCTATGACTACTAATTTCTCAAACTAGGCCTGGCCAAAACTAACATCTCTCTTACAAAACCACTCTTTCACCACATTGGCAACGTGTTTGGTGTCATCATCCAGTTGGAAAATCCACCCTTCTTTTTTGTCAAGCATAGGACAATATATTTTCAAGGTTGTCTTTATACTGTATAACTAATCCATAATTTCATTGACCCATATAAGAGGGCCAACACTAGTTAAGGAAAAGGCACTCCAGTCCATTACTGATCCACCTCCATGTTTAAGAGTGGGGTTTTGGTATCATGGGTTGAATATTTCATATATGAGCCATCAAATATAGCATTTACCATCATTCCTGAACAGTAGAAATTTGGATTCATCTGAACAGAACACTTTATGCCACTGAACTAATGTTCATGATTGATAAACTTGTGCAAATTCTACTCTTGCCTTACAGTTTTTGATGAATGAAATGTAAGGATTTTTATTGGGATATATGCAAGCAATCCAGCATTTCTCAGTTAAGTGTTATACCACATTCATCTTTAATTTCACAAGTAATGCTAACTGTATTTTTGTGTGGATTTGCTACTGACTTTTTCCTTATCAGTCCATCTATTCGTGCAGTTGTTTTCCTTGGTCTCCCAATTTGCTTCTGATCTACTGCACCTTTTCTCAGTTTGTTTTTTTTTTTTTTTTTCAAGATGTAGTAGACAACATCTCAATATTTGGAATGTGCCTTTGACATCAGGTACTTTTTCCCATACCAATGGATCAATAATCAATTTTTGGTTTTCAAAACATATTTTTCCCTTTTTTGCCAGTTCCCTTTAAAAGACAGTGGAAAATCGTGTGAAATACAAAAGTTTAATTTAATTTATGTCTTATATTGCTGGATTCCCTTTTTCAATTGTACACATTCAATGTACAGAAACTTTTGCTCTTGTAAATTTGCTTATTAGTTTGAAATGCATACTTACTTGCTTATTACAACCTTGACAATTAATTATTATTACATCATTGGGTTGAATTCTTTAGTATTTATGTTATTTATGTTCACAACAGTTAAAGAAGTAAGCAAAGATAAATCATTTACTTGTGTATATTTATATCTAGTTATATATTTACCCCATCTTTAATGTGTTATTTGAATGGAACATCATTTAAAAGTGAATTGTAAGTTTTCCTTTCAGAATTGTTTTGAATTTATTCCTTTCTCTGGCACATTGTGCATGGAATGTTATTTAAATATGAAATTTTTAAGCATATGTTAATAATCATCATATAATTTAGAACTGTAACCTGAAGATGACTTATTAACTAGGTCAAAATATTAGTTAAAATAAAATAATCTTGCTGGAAATAAAAGATGTTATGATCTTAGTTTAGTTTAAGTTAAACTCATACAGTTATTTGTACTTAACTCAGAAACTAAAACATTTAATATCCACTATTCAATTTGCACAATAACTAATTTTTATGGATAACTTAATTTTCTGTCATTGGTTCCATTCCAACACAAAGAAACAATAAAATTCTACAATTGTCATGAGTCTTGCTCCCATCATAAATCAGTTAAACTTTGGAGCATCTGTTCTATTTGATTGCATTGATTAATTTTGTAGTTTATTTTTGTGTATGACTGGAACATGATGATTTAGTTCATTAAGTTAACCAAAAGTACTTTTATTGTGCAAATTTTATGCTAATATTAACCCAGTGTCAGGGACCTATATAACACTTTGACACCCTGAAACTAGAGGAAAAAGTCAGTGTATAAAATTTTTTTTTGTGATTGAATTTTGTACTTGTTAATAAAAAAGTTGATTTAAATCATAAAGCATTAGAAAACTGTATATCAGTGTAATTTATTACTATTTTTTAATCTTTCAGTTTTGCATGCAAATGTCTAAAGTCTTCTTTCCAATTAAGATATTCAATTCATTCAGTAAATGTCTCTTCAATCTGAAAAAATTCTTTTCGCCTAGACTACCTCACAGCCAGTGAGGTAGTCTAGCGAAAAGAATTTTTTCGGATTGAAGAGACATTTACTGAATCAACATTACAAACAGCTAAACTATCGGAAAATTCAGAATAAGATATTCAAGTTTTTTCATAAATTGTAAGGATGGGAAATTTCTTTGACATACTGTATATTGAAGTGGCAATACATAAAGTGATAAACCTGGAAAATTAACCATCTCAATATTATAGCACTATGGTATCTGATACGGGTTAAACATTTTAGTTTCTTCAGTCATAGAAAAACTCACTGAAAATGTTTTATTGGAATAATCCTAGTATAATCCCTGTAAATTTTTCTGTGAATATTTCTATTTGAGTTTGAAATATTCATCTAATTATATTTAGTAGTATTAATTTTGTCATAAATTTTATTAATAATAATTAAATTGTTCAATTTTTCCAGTACCTGACGAATTTCTTTATGATCCAACAAGTAAATCTTACGGAGACCCATCTAGGAGACCCGAAGTACGAAATGCCACTATAGAATTTATCGCTCCTTCTGAATATATGGTAAGATTTTATAGTACAGTTGAATTTAGTTATAACAATATTCAAGGAACAGTTTTATTTGTGTTGTTGTTATGAGGATGATGTTATAGCTAGGTTCCATTGTCCCTGAGATAAACATGTAAAAATACAGTATGACAACTGTATGCATTAATGCTTTGATCCTTTGTTACCCTGTACATTACATATTACACATCTACCACTTTGTAATGTACCATGCTATGCAAAAGGCAGGGTTACACAAGTTAGGGTTCGATTTAAGTATCAGACCTGGACTTTATGCAACAAAATATAATAATCCAAAACAACACTTATAAGTAGAAATCCATAAATATTTATTAAATTGAACAGTATTGAAATAAATAACAACAATGATTAATTATAACAAAAGTTAGTAAGAGTATATATTTCAAATATTCGAAAAGTCAAGTAACAAAAATAGACAATTAATCAAAGGAAGTCTTTTTCATATATATCAAATTAATTCAAATCTCCATCAAGAAAATAAAAAATACTCAAAATACACATTTCCTTACACTGATCACTTATTAAGAATGCCAGAGAAGTAGCTTCTATGATGATCGCTGTTGGGAGCTATACCACACTGCAGGATGGACATGTCATCTTTTATCTGGTCCTCAGTGTGGCTCCGCACTGCCCTATTTACACATGTGCGCATCATGGGATCAGTCACTGATGCAAATTAGTATCTTTCACCTTTTTTTTTTTTTAATTTTAGCACATTGAGAGTTTCTTAGGAGTTTCTGTCCTCAAAAAAAAAAAATACTCCAAAAAGAAAATAATTATAACTAAAAATAATGATTATAAGCTGTAAGAAGTCGAAGTCCAATGTTGAAATGAGTAATTTTGCTTTGAGTCTTTGGCATTTTTTAATATATGTTGTTCAAATTGTTCCAGAGACAGGACAGAGTAGCAAATGTCATGTCTTGTGTTTGGGAAGATGATATGAAGAATTAGTTAATATTTTCAAAGACATAATCACTTCATTTAGTGTAGAAACAGGTTCCAAATTTGCAATATCTCTGCAAATTTTAACTCTGTTCCTTCATCACTGCCATTTTCTATATCTTAATGGTTAGTTCCCTCTTTCACTTCTGATATAATGTCAACATCAGAGTTTATTGCACTGGTTATAATATCATTGTCTTCTTGCATTTGGAATAATATCAGTGTTGATCTCTTTGTACCACTCAGATTTTTCACAGTCAAAGTTTGCAGCTGCATTTAAGAATTTTGCATTACATGCAGTTTCTAATTGTCTTTGGTATAACTCTATTTCATGCTATGTCTAGAAGCATCCAGAAGCAAAATTGTATTCTGGTAGCTGTTTTCAAAGCCTTGTAATATCTTTATCAAAATTAACTTACTGTAGTGGCACTTAAGATTCTGAATTACTTCTTGGTCCAGGCTGGAACATAACCATAGTGTTTGGTAGAAAAAACACAAGTTTAATGTTGTTTAGTATGTGTTCTATCTTTGGGTGTTTGAGGTAATCATATAGCACAAGAAGAATCTTACAGCACTTACCTTGCAGTTCTTGATTCCAGGAATCATTCTTTCTTGAACAGTTGAAGCATCATCCATTTGTTTGTGAAATAATGCGTTGAAAGAGGTTTCACATTTTTAAAACACAGAGCACATTTCAATTTTCCTATCATCAATTTTCTGTTCTCATTGCCATCTGTATTAGCAACAACTAGAACTGTGATTTGTTCCTTAACAATTTTCCACCAGCACATTTTTCTCCCTTAAATTTTAAAAAGTCTTATCAGATGTAGTCTATAAAACAATCCAGTCTCATTGCCATTAAAAATATCTGAATCATTAAATTCTTCACAAAGTTTAGGTTAGTCATTTTGTAATCAATCAGTTATCTGCAAGTTTACTTCAGCCAATCCTCTGCAAACTTTACCAAATGTAATGTTATGATGATGTTTAAATTGATCAATCCAACCATTGTCGTAAGTAAAGTTTTCAATTCCCAATAACTGTACAAATTCTTCCATTTTTAACTTTTAAGATTGGGCCATTAATTGGAATGTTTAGGCTGTGCTTTGCAAACCACTTTAAGATCGCATGATCCAAATTTCACATATAGGTTTTCTTATGTTCTTAATGTTTCTTCTTGACTCATTAAATGCTTTTTGTATTTTCTCGTAGTAATTTCTCAAATTGTGAATATAGTGAATTGAGTTGCTCAGACTAAACAACAACATTTTTTGCACCTCTTTCAATTTGTTTCCTGTTGGAAATATTGTCTTCAATGGAGAGATTTTATGCTTTTCCATACAACAGTCCATTTTACTGAACACTGTACTACCTACTGTATACTGTAATGAACTTTTGCAGAAATGATTAATCATTTCTGCAAAAGAAAGAAAATCTAACTTCTTTGACTGAATCCTTCACTGAGTTATCAGTCAATAGAAACACTCCAATGGACCCAAGAGGTTTCACTGCAATGTGTTTACTGATTAGCAGGACTGTGCCTATGCATTCTTTAACCAAAAAGCTTTTTCTATTGAAACTAAACTAATACTAAAAAACTGATAACATAGAATGTACTGTTAAATTATTTCCCTAAAAATATACTAAAACATGAATCTAAATATTGAAAAATGTGGAAAATTTTGTTCTTTGTCTAAACCAAATTTAGATATTGTTATATCAAGGTAAAATGTAATGTTAAAGTACAGGACTCTAGCCACACTATCAATATTTTGTGCTATATCTGAGTTTGACTGTATAAAATTTATCTGAATTTTCGTTTAAAATAAATACTTTTAAATGTGTTCCTTTGGTTATTTCATACATGTTTTGGATATCTTATTCAATATCATATTGTCATTTTTATGGAGCTAATTAGAAAAAAGTGTAAAATTTTTTACATTTCTCTAAATATCTCCATATAAATGTGAGACTTAAAGATCCAAATTATTTGCTTCTTATGTTTTAAACAAAATTATTTTTAAGAAAATGCTACATCTGGACCAGTGACATGTTCTGTCAATGTCACTTGATATAGAGACATTCTTCAAAACTTTGTCATCCCTCCCTGCACTTCAGCAATGAAATTGTTTGATACCACAATCTTTATGCAACATGATTCCCCCCTTTGATATTAGCATCAGTGTGATCTATGTAGCATCATGTTATTTCAGAAAGATTGTTATGTAGAAATGGTTGATTCATTTAGTTTTAAAGCATAATTTTATTCTAATGGATTGATATTTTATCAATAACCCAAAAATTTTAATAGCATTTGCTATTTATTTCATATTTTACAAGATACTTATTGTAACTTTTTTAATGTATTTCCAGTTAAGACCACCACAGCCTGCTGTATATTTATTTCTTTTGGATGTTTCTCATAGTGCGATAGAAACAGGTTAGCATTTTAATTTTATAACTCATTACTAATTTATGAATTTTAATTTTGTGATATTATTTTTTTGATTATTTTGTATTATATTTTCTCATATTTTTGTGGTGATTTATTTCATTTTGCTCCATAATTAATTAATATTATGCACTTAAATTTTTCAGAAGTTTTTAATATTTGGAAATAATTTTATACAGAGAACAAAACCAACACTATGAAAAGAAAAAATTCCAAACATAACATTTTGGACATAACATAAATTTTAAACACAATGCATTCTATTTACATAGTTAATTGGAACATGTAAAAAAAGCGTTTGATTTTTGTCATAGCTATTTTGTTCTATATCGTTTTTACCAGATGATGTCTATTTTTATATAGACAAAAACGTTAGTAAATTTTTTCTTTTTGGCTGGTGTTGATTTTGTTCTGTGTTTATATAATCCCAGTTTTGGAGAGATACTGTAATTTTATTATGTTCCGAAGAATCTTAATGTTCCTTATGATCATAAAATTATTTTCCATAAAAACATATTTTTGTCTGTTCAGAAATATCTGTACAAATAATATAACTATCTTTAAATTTAATACATTTTTCTAAAGTAAAATCAAATAGAGTTGTGTTAATTTAATTTTATGTGAAAACAATCTTTATATTATTTATATATTAGGTAATTAAATATTAAAATGTACTTGTGTTTTATTTTGATATATTTATAGTTTTTTAAATTTATGTATATTTATATATTAGGTAATTAAATATTAAAATGTACTTGTGTTTTATTTTGATATATTTATAGTTTTTTAAATTTATGTATATTTATTTAGGTTATTTGTCTGTGTTTTGTAAAATACTTTTGGAGGAATTAGATAACCTTCCAGGTGATGCCAGAACTCAAGTTGGTTTTATTACTTTTGATAGTAGTATTCATTTTTATAATCTGACAGAAGGATTCAATCAACCTCATATGCTTGTAGTCTCAGATATTGATGGTTAGTATAATTTATTATTATTTTATTTAACAGTAACTTTTTACAGTGATAGAAGATTTAATGATTCATAAATCTGTCTTTGAGAATAGAACATAATGACAAAATGGTTAAGAAAATTGCTAAGGAATTTTCAGATTTTTTTAAATATCTTTATATGTTACCAAATACCATCTGAAATATTGAATTTTTAATGTCAGATTATCTGGAAATACAGTGATGTTTTAAACTGCTAATAAAAACAAACAGTTTATTTTGTAATAAATCTTTAATGAATATATCTTTGAAAAATAATGAATATTCATAAAATAATCAATATTTTATGAATATTGATTATTTTCACACATTTATTCTAGTATTCACACATCTATTTTATCTGTAGCATGATATGATATTGGTCTGTCAGATTTTAACTATACAGGGTATTAAAAAAGTATACATCATGTATATGATAGTGTACATTTTCCAAAAATCTCTAATGGATTGTTTATCTTCTCCAGCAGTTTTATCAATCAGTTGTCAGAATGCTCACCACAGATAATAAGCTTTAAAATTTGATATTACACCTTAATCCGTTGGTTGGATTAACGAAGTTGTATTTGGCAGCAGGAAAACAACTTCTACTAGAATGCTTGTTGTTTAGTCAGACAAATGTGTTGGATGGCTTGGATCATTATCAATCAAAAGTAAAGCTCTCAGTTCTAGTTTTTTAAATTCACAGTAGCATTTAACAGATAGTCAAAAATGTTCGGTAAACCAATTCTGGAAAATTTTCATAGTGATCCAGGATCTTTTATTGAACTCCCAAATTACTGGTAAAGATGATTTTGAAATTTCCTTCATTACTCTTGGGGTTTTGGAATGATAAACAAGCAGTGATTTTAATTTAAAGTCTCCTTTATCATTACCACCAGTAAAAGCATTTAATGATCTTTTATAGCTTTAAATTCTGGTGCTTGCTTTTCTTCACAGGATAAAAATGTACATTTTGGCATTCTCTTTCAGAAAAGGCCCGTTTCATCAACATTGAAACTAATTCAGGAGGATAATTCCCTTGTTCAATGATTGCTCTTAATGTCGCTGGAAATGCAGCAGCTGCTTTTGTATCTTCACTTGCCTCTTCTCCAGTAATCTGTATGTTATAAAGATTGTTTCTGTTTTTAAATCAATTGAACCACCCTCGAATAACTAATAAATTTTCACTCATGTCACCTTTTTCATTCTGAATATGCTTAAAAATTGTTCCCACTTTTTCCATTATAATTGCTTGACTTAATGGCATATTGCATTCAACTTCATCGTCAATCCAGATGGAAAGTCGTTTTCCATTTCCTCGAACACATTGCTTCTGGTACATGTAATTATTGTTGCAGAAGTTGTGCTTGTAGTTGCTGATGATATGATTTTTTCTTTATTTTTTAAAATTATCCATATTGCTGAAGTTGACAAATTTAATGCAGTGCTGATATCAGATTGCTGTTTACCTGCATCTAATCGTCTGAGCACCTTCCTTTTAGTCCCAGCGAAATGCTTTTTCTTGTCACTACTTTCTTTTTCTGTGCAATCACCCTTCGTAAAAACTAAAAGTTGCCATATTTATCACAATAAAATAAAATATTATGTTTATATCTTTATACACACAATAACATTGATGATCAATCATAAATCAACTGTGACACAGCAAACATGCATTCGTACTGCTATGATGCACACCATGAGACTGCAACAAAATTGTGCGCAATTTTGGGAAATACCAGTACTAACATGTAATACTGAAAGAGTGTTAAGCAGGGTCTTACTGTATTTAAATTATTTAATTTGTTAATAAATCAAAACTTTAGTACATGTTTTAATTCAAAAACGTTTTATCTAGATCTTAACAAATATCAAGAAGCAATCTTCAAATCAAGCAAATACCTTTTAACTTTTTGCTTTTTGAAACATTGTTAATTAGTTATGGGATAAATACTGTGTTTCCTCAAAAATAAGACTGGGTCTTACATTAATTTTTGCTCTAAAAAACTCATTAGGTCGTATTTTCATGGGAAGTCTTGTCCAAAGGTGTTCACTTGGGTATTTACAAATACTTAAATAAATGATAATATAAATTATAATTAAGTATTACTGTCAATAATAATAATAATAATATATTATTATTTTGTAATTCAATACATCCATTGTGGGTTGCAATGGACATATTAAATATGACTATCTTGCTGACAGTCTTAACTGGGAGTTTATATTAGAGGCATCCTGAAACATCATACTAGGGCTTATTTTCCAGTTAGGTCTTATTTTTGGGAAAATATGGTAGTAAATAGAATATAAGTGAAATCTGAATCACAGACATTTTAGAAATGGAATAAATAAAATTGAATTATAAATTTTAATATGTATAATATTAAATAGTGATTAGTACTCTGTATATTTTGTTGTCATGATAAAGTTTTGCATGAGATGTTATGGCTACACCTCTTGCCTTCATTTATTTTCAACCTCTGTTGTCTGTTAGAATATGGACCCTATTACAAAGGGTCAAGCCACAATGAGTAAGCTCTATAAAGTCACACAATAAGGAGTATAAAAAGAGAGAAAGATACAAAAAAAAAAAAAGAACAGTTTTGGGCCAACTGATTTTTCAGGATGAAGTGAACAAGTTATATATGTACACTCAGGATTTTAGGAAATCCCATATGAAGCATAGGTCTGAACTATTGTTCCTATGATGGTTTATTTTTATTTATTTATTTTTCAAAATTCACTGGTGGTAGATCATTTTCAGAATGATTGTCAGGTTACTGAGTTTGTTGCTGGGAAAACATACTGTATCTTTATTTCAATTTAAATGTAGAACATCATATAATGAAACTCTTTCTATTTAGGAAACTGTTAATCACTGTAAACTATCACAATGTCTTGCTAATAATAATAAATTTTGATATGCCTTAATTATCAAACTAGATGATGATACTTCTATAACATTTATGTAATTGAATTAAACTCAAAACAATTGTTTTAAAATATTTAATTGCTTTTATTTATTATCAAAGGTAAATTTAATCTTTTATCTTTCTACAATCTTTAATTTAAAAAAGCAAGAGCAGATATATATTTTAAAAAGTATTTAGAGTATATTGAAACAAATAATATATACATTATTAAAAATATATTGTAAAATCATAAATGTTTTTTTTCCTCCAGATGTGTTCCTTCCATCACCTGATAATTTACTTGTTAATCTTCAAGAAAACAAAAATGTAAGTTTGTAAAAACTATTTAATAGTAACTCCTCTTTCTATAAATTAAAACAAAAAACAATTGTACTTTAAGACTGTTGGTAAAAACTGACATAATTTTTGTATTTAAGTTAAATCTATGATTAGTATACCAGACCCATTCAGCTGATTGCAGAGACAATGTGTATGTTAAATGATGTTTAACAGCTGTTAGGCATCTAGATGTTAGCTGGTCAAACTGTGGTTTAAAATGCATTGCAAAGATGATGATTGTCTGTTGCTGAATGCCATCTAAATGAACCTTGGCAAAACATTGGCTCTTACTTCACTGTTATGCAACTGTTTTAGGAGTCATTCAGCTAATTGAGTTATTCATTTGTGATGTCAGAAAAAACTCTGATAAGGTCACCAGCTATCTTCTGAAAACTTCCGGTAACATAAAACCTTATGGCCGTCAATTACTGTTGTTTGGCAGTCGATGGCAGTCCTTTTCCATTTCAATATTTAATTTTGTTGCCAATATGATTTAAAATATGAACAGATCCAGATTTAGAAAATTTATATCAAATTTGAAATTTGTTTTTGGAATAGATTTTTAAGAATTATTTCGACATTGTATCACTTTCTTCCTTCATAATTGTTGAGATGAATAATTTTAAATATTTTATTATTATTATTACATTATTTTTATTTCTATAAAAAGGTTTCAATAATTATTAAAGGTATCTCATTTGTTTAACAGAATGTTCTGACCATGGGTTTAACAATAATAACCCTGAAATGCATTAACATTTTATAACTAACACAAAACTTGAATTGTAAATAAATGCATCTGATTAAATTAATTATAGTTTTAAGTCTTCACCCATTTGAATATCAGAATTGGAACATTACTATAATTAAATACTTTAAATTTGTTTTAATTTTCAATCCAAGCAATTAATTAATGAATAATTTTGTTGATTTATCATTTATCAAAGGAATGATATCCATTTCTATCTAAACTTTTTCATGAGCAAAACTTTCACTTGAATTGAAACTGTCTAAACCTGCTGTAATGTAAGCAAGTCAAATTACCAGTTTCTAAATACTGTCTAAACTGTGGCAAGTGAGAATTGCTGTTTTTGCAATGTAATTTTTCTGAACTGTGGTCTAGACAATTTCTAAACCATTATCTGTGTCTAAATGTTGTCTCTGCAATTGGCCCATTAAAAAACAGTTTAAAAACACAGGCTTCAGAACAGATCACTATTCTCACTATTTTTAAATTAGTCACTTTTTTCAACTATTATGGTAATATATCACTTTTTCTGCTGTTATGAACATTTTTGTAACTCCAAGCTGTCACATGTTACATCATTAATTAATGTTTAAATACTTAAACTGTAATGCCCATAACATCTTTCTCTTGTTGCATGTTGAAAATTTTATGTTATTACATGGCTTTTAGGTCTTAAAAATATTAATTATGCATATCATAACATTATAATGCACCACTGGGCATTATAATGTTATGAGGATTTTTTTCCCCACAGTCTAATGCTGACAAAATTTTTTTCAAAGTACAGTATTTTAATTCTTTCCGAGCACCTCATAATTAACTTTTACGCCTTCAATTTGAGGTCAGGTGTTAATAAACCAGTCTAAAATGAAAATCAAGTGCAAATAATGATATATAAACAATTTAAAACCACATTATTTTTCAATTTTTGTTTTAATAATTTTTATAATTAACAAAATTACCAATTAAATTTTTGTAACAATTAATATTTTGTAACTAAAATATTGAGACCAGCATATAGTTTCAGGATCAGAGTTGATGATTTTTAGATCATTAACATAAGGTATAATTTTATAATTTACATGAAGAATAGCATAATCTAAATAAATGATAAAAATATTATTTTAAAATGGGTCCCTGAGATATTTTGCACACTCGCAAGAAATTACAAAAAAAAAAAAAGACTTCCTAGTTTAACTTTGTGGGAACATAATAATTATTTAGCCAAGCTAAGTTAGAGAAGTAAGATGTTACCTTATTTTTGAAAAGTCTAATAAGAAGGAAAGTATAAGTGAATTATATGTCTTAGTAATAAGAAAAGGAATAAAATAAACACATGATAAAATGTTTAAAAATCTATCTATAACAATGTTGTAAACATTAAAAATACACTCATTGGGACAACATGGTGGCACAGTACCTATTACATGATTTGGAAAATTTGGGGCTAAATTCAAAAAATTCCTGGAATCTGATGTAAACTAACCTATAATGGAAATAAAATAATTATTATAAGAAAATTTGCATTTGAAACAAATTTTTTGTGAATTACATGACATAGGTATAAGTATTTACTGTTGCCAGTAATTTCCACAATGAAATTGTTTTTCTCATTAAGTTTCTAAAAGATTTTTTTAGAGATTAACAAACATTTTTGAGGGAGACTTTTTACATGGTAAAAACGTTACAATTTTTTATTATTATACAATTTCAATTTGATGAATCTTCTGGCTTAAAGGCTAGTTATCATAACATTATTCCAAAAAACAACTAATTCAAGGAACACAAGTACTTGGAAACTAGTTTCCAATTGACTTTAGTCCACATGGGGAGGAATTCACTGACTACTCCTTGGAGAGAAAATGGACATTAATTCAAATTGATATAGTGGAGTGACCAGATCAAAATCCTGTACTAAGTAAGTCAAAGTGTACAGTCCTTTGGAAAAACCTAGGTTGAGAAAAGAATTATTTCTGGTAGGGAAAGAAGCACATTTTAAATTGAAAAAATAATAGACGTCACTAAAAAAATAAAAATTTGGATATTACAAATTATGATAACAACAGTGGTAAGTAAACAAGATAGTAATTAAACATTATTTTGATATAACATTGTATTCAGCCAATTCTTGGTGGTGGTAAAAAAATTAGTGTCATTAAGTAATATGGGTAGAAAATTGCATTTAATTTTAATCAAATGGACATTTTGTAAATAAATGTTAAGTTTTAAATTATAATATTAAGCCATAATAATAATAAACAATTGTGATTTTAAATATTGAACTTTTTCATAAAATTTAATGTTAATTCATTAAATGATAAAAATGTTTTGTTTTGTTTTTTATTTTACTCATATATTTATAGTAGGAAATACTTTAATTTATATTATTTTTCATGTAATGATTATTTTAATTACTTTTTAATTCATGATATATTTTTTTATTTTTAGATAATTCAAGACTTGCTCAATGATTTTCCAAAAAGATTCACATATAATGGAGATACAAATAGTGCTTTAGGTGCAGCTCTTCAAGCAGGTTTTAAATTAATGGTAAGTAAAAAAATAGTATTCGAAGAAATGTAATTTGTAATATATAATAAGATGTTTGATAACATTGACATCATACTAAGAAATTGAAAGTTAATGACTTTAAATCAATAATTAATTTAGTTCATTATATCAATAATCAATATTATTTTAACGTGTATTTCTCACTTCAAATTGGCTTTTAATCACAAAATATCCATGGGTTATTCACATAAAATTAAAGTAGCTTTTATAATTTTCATCTCACCACCTAAGAATTATTTGTTACATTATTCAGAATTATCTATAAAGCATCTCAAGATAGTAACACAAACTTAATAGCTTCCTAATCAATGAAAAGCATCATATTTTTAGTTAATTAAAAATGATGTAGTTAGAATAAGAAAGAATGATAATGGTGGATTATGTAAGTTTCCTTTAATTAATCAAAATGAAATGGACTCTTGAATACATTAGTCATGAAACAAACTATGAGAATAAATGATCATAGAAACAACTTAAGTTACTTGTAAATCTTACTTTTCTAAACACAAGAAGTAGCAAACAGAAACCTTATTGTAAGATGGGGAAAGCAGAAATTCTGGAGATATATGATGCAATTGTCATGATCATATGACAACAATCAGATCATAGCAAGAGGATTTGTTGATTTTTGAGTTCACACAATATGCCGAATTGCAAAGACCCATGCAATATCCATAGGATAAAATGAATTGTTTCCAAAAAGTTTAAGAGTTAAAAATTTTAATGAAACTTATATACAATAATAATAATAATATATGTAATACTTTCTCTCTCTCAAATCATCACATACGAGGCGTCTGGAAAGTAAGTACCGTTTCGTTTTACCGCCACCGCAGCGGTAGTATCGCAGTTCAGCACCTGTGCACACGTGTCTCTGGTTGATTGTCAGTCCAGTGACGTCATTAGAGCCAGATTGTGATGTTTTTCCATGTGTTAGTGAGCGTTCAAAATGTTTAAGACGATTGCCGATCCCGCCGACTGTGAAGTGCGTTCTGTAATACGGTTTTTGAACGCAAAGAATGTTAAGCCAGTTGAAATTCATAGTCAACTTGTAGAGATTTATGGTGAAAATGTAATGAGTGATGGAATTGTGAGAAAGTGGGTTCAAGAATTCAATGCTGGATGCACCAATGTTCATGACGAAGCACGGAGTGGCCGGCCTTCTGTTGTCAATGATGATTTGGTTGCAAAAGTGAATGAGAAAATTCTTGAAAACAGACGGTTCACAATAAGATTGCTTTGTGATGAGTTTCCACAAATTTCAAAAACTGTTTTGCATGAGATTTTCACAAATCAATGTTCAGCAGTAGCTGTCTTCACTGGCGGCATCTTTCTTTGAAGAGGGTATAGACAAGTTGGTTTCCCGATATGACAAATGTCTGAACAATGGTGGTAACTATGTAGAAAAATAGTTTCCAACATGCTCTTTCATGTAAAACTAAATTTTGTTTTGAAAAAAGATTTTTTATGTGAGGTTTTCCAAAACGGTACTTACTTTCCGGACACGCCTCGTAGTTACCATTGTTACGATTTTTCTTTTCTTTTTTTTTCCTTTTTCTTGGAATTAGTAACATCTGTAGATAGTTTCCCCCCCCCCTTAAATCTTAAATTTATTTTGTTAAATTATTATTTTTTAGAAAATTAGTGTGTAATGAAGATTAAATTTGATGAAAATGTTAATTTTCTGTTTAAAATATTTGGTAATAAAAACTTTCTTAACAGTCATTGGAAATGAAAACTTCAATAAACCTATTTCTGGCAGCTAAACATTATTTAATTATGTGTATTTAAATTAGTATATCTGTTACAGCAGAAGTACTATAATAAATTGCTACCACTGTTTTGTTTAACTAGATTCATTTGTCTTTATTTCATATAATATCATTACAGAAGCATTGTCATTCTGGCTTTGTGTTATATAACTTTTAAGATTGTTATAACAACTACTTCAAAAGTTACAATAAAAGTTTGTTAATTCAAAGTTAAATAATTTAAATTTTAAGTTAATGCCAATTTTTGTAGATTGTGGCTATCATTTCCTACATATATTATCATTATAATACTTGCATTAATTTGAAATTTTAATGCCCTTTTATGTAATCTGAACAAAATAAATTAGAAATTGTATTGCTTTGTTAGACATCTTTTGATTTGATAATTTGAATGCTAGATAATTTAGAATTCTTTCCAGATCACTTGGAGGTCAAGTTAACAAGACTTTACTGTATTTCCAAGGTCAAATGCAGAAAATATTGTCAGAAATGCTGAAACTTTTAATATATTTAAAGTATTTTAGTGTGTGAATTTTGTGATTTTTATAGAATAGCATTATTATAGTCTTCTGAAAATGAATAAACAACCTCAGTTATTATAGGTTAACAGTTTTTGAAATATATTTTTCATGATACAAAGTTAAGCTGTTTTTCTAATTTATTTTTTTATTCATGAAAAATGAAAATATTCCATAAATAATATATTTATTAATGTTTTAGTCCCCAACAGGTGGTAGAATAACAGTGATGCAAACTTGCCTTCCAAACTATGGACCTGGAGCTTTGAAATTAAGAGAGGATCCAAATTTAAGAGCTGGAAAGGTATATAAAATAAATTTTTTTCTATTATATTTTAGCACAAATTATATATTGAATCTGTAGAATATTGCTAAAGAATAATACTGCAATTCTGTTATACAGTAAATAATCATTTATGTGATCCTTAAAGTTATTAGAATATTGTATTATCATGTTTTCTCAATCCTAATGCACCATTGAGTCAAATATGCATCTTATTTTCAACATCAAAATCTGAAAAAAGTTAGCTTGTTAATATAATGCATACCCTATGTCATTGAATGCACAGCCATAGAAAGTTAATGCATTCAAACATCAATATATGTATTTTTGAAAAACACTTGATTGTCATATTTATAGTGCTTCACAAAGTTCACATAATAAAGTTCTATTATCAAATATAAATCTGCCAGCTAACACAAAATAACAGTAAAAATTGTTGTACAATCATTTTAACAGCAAGATTTCACATCAGTATGCACCAGCATAAAATTTTAAATTTACATAGTATCATACTGGACTATTTGTACACATGTTTTTCAGCTTAGTGGATAACTCACTGCTTAAACTTAGTTATTTTAGGAGACCCCTTTGCTGAATATTGTTTACTTGACTTGCTGTAATCAAAAAACCACAAAAACTATTTCAAAACAAACTGTAGTAATGAGAGGAATGTGTACCATATCTACATTGAAGACATAATACATATGAATTGCCAAGTGGAGTGAAGAGAAAAAAAATGGCACAAACAAGATTGCATTAAGTCAACTTGGTGTACAGTAGTACTCCAATGTGTACTCCAATTTTGGAGATAAAAAAGTGCAAAAAAAAAGGAATGCATTAGAATCAAGAAAAGTTTGTATTAATGAGATATGTTTCTATAAAACAGTTTTGTACTAAAATATGTTAGAATTAACATGTACTATATAGATAATTGTATCAGCCACTACAGGCAATATATAAAACAAATACTATTTTTCAGTTTGTCTAGTCATTATAAAATGCCTGCTATTTTTTAGATAAAGTACATAGAAGAAAGTATAAGTATATACTATATAATAATAATAATCAACATTTTATTTTTAATATTTGTACAAACATAAAATAACACTAATCGTATCACTAATTTTAATCATTGTTCTGTCTGGTTTATTTATTACAGTATGCAGCACTTTAATGATATTTTGAATTACAAAGAACTTTTTCCAGACAAAAGCATTTTAAGTTCAACTTTTATTTTTGCAGATGTGCTTCCAGGTCTTTGTCCAGTATCTGTTCATTGTGCTCAGTTGCTGCTGACCTGAGAGACACTTCTTTATCATTTGGTACATCTTTTAGTATTGAAAAAATTCTTTATATGCTGTAAACTGAAATTGCGAGTATAGCTGTTTGAGAACACCATCTTTGTTTCTGAAATGATGACACACATGGAGATTTTTTAATACCTGAATGATAGGCTTTGTTCTTTGTAACTGGATGGAACATATACTTTCACTCCAATGAAGATTATTTTTATTTTGCATCTATGTTAAGATCATATTTTCTATATTTTGATTTGCTCTTTTGATGCTTTGTTGACTTTGATTATGTTGGATTTTTCTGTGCACTATTTTAAGCTGACACCAGTACTTCCTCAACTCTCTTGGATTTAAAAGCTTTTAATACCACAAACTTAGGTCATTCTTGTAAACAAAGGTATACTTAAATTCACCATTAGGATGAGTTTGGAAATCTGTCAGGTCCACTTAACAACTTAACATCAATTAGATGGTTGGTTGAATAAGGCAGCACTACATAAGTGATCTGCAGGAGGGGTGCCTCCCAGGAGTATACTCTGTGGGAAACTGGTCTCTATTTAGATGTTAGTCACATGAAGAAAATCTAGAATACTCCACATAGCCAGCCTGTCAGTGAGACAAACCCATAACCAACTATCAATGTTCAGGGTATCATTCACTTGACATCAAGAATTAAATTCTTATGAAATCAATAGTTTCACTACAATGTTTTTCTTGCAACCTTTTTGTTTTTGTTGACAGGTTTCATAAAGCTGTAAGAAAAGTTCTATATCATGCCAAGTAATAGCTTTTTTTCAACATCTTATCTCATCCATCTTGACTGACAAAAGTAGGAGTATCAAAAAGTATTTTAAATAACTCATTGTCTGAAACAGAATTTGATTGCACTCTTAGCTTAATCAGATTTTTTTCCTGAACCATCAATATACTATACTATACTTAATAACCAATAATGATGAGGTTCCTATTTTTCCATAGTTTTAACATTATTCACTTCTCTTACTTGTTTTTCATACTTGTCATCTATGAGACTTACTTTGTTATTTACAGAAGTACAGCTCTTCATTTCTAACTCACTGTAAAACATTTGCTTCATAATGGATTTACAAGTATTTCATACATATTCAACTTTACAGCTCACAAAATCTGGCTTGAATTTACAAAATGTATCAAAAAAATTTATGTCAGTTACTTAATTATTTTAACAATGAAATTCTATGTATTAATTCAGGCATTGAACTAATCAATGATTAGCTATTTTTTCAAAACTTAATTCCTAAATTTTTTATTTTTAATTGAAAATGGATAACCTTAAATTAAGGAACATTAATAAATTGATTACAACATGAGAGAATGTTACTTGTTAATAGGCCTATTATTAATTTTATACTCTGCCTACACAGTATTTGGCATTTTATAAAATTCCTAGGCAAAGTAAACAATTATATTTATTTCATACTTTCAACTGATTTTGGGCATTCTATACAATGCTTGTATTTCATACTTTGCCAATAACATATATACAAAAGTTTTTTTTAACTCAACAGATATTAGAAACAAAACCAATCTATGACCTTCATAGTAACATAACAGTTTCATAACATTAATAATTATCCTGTTATTCTTTTGACTTCAGACTTCTAAAAAGAACTGATGAGTCATTTGTAACAAATTGTGAGAGTGTAATGATGTAAAATTCCACATTCTTATAGTCACAGAAATTGTACCAATCAATGTATTGTGGCCATAACAGATTATAATGTTACCAGTCATGGTTAAATAACTGTATGATATGCATTTACTTTTTGCTATTGTTTAATATTCTTATATAAATTTAAGTGCAAAACTAAATTTTTAAAGAACATGCTTTAAGTCCAAATGATCACCAGATTAAATTGGGCTAGATTACTGCTGCTATTAATAATTAAATACTATGTAATTTGGCCTAGAGGTTGGTGTTAGGCTCCATCTCTTACTAAATTTAATAATTATAATTAAATTAATATTTATTAAATAATTTAGAAGATTCTGGAAGAAAAGAATTGGCCTGGAGCAGAACTTGAACCTACAACTGCCATTTACCATGTGGATGTGTTGCTAGTTATGCTACCCAGATCTTCATCCAATCTTTGCTTCCGGAACTATTAATTTAGATATTACCATACTAGTTTCTCACAGGGTCAACTGGGGATGGTGCAAGTATCCAATGTCTGTAAACTCTTACTATAGCACTCAGCTGGTTATCCCAGCATGGTGTGTATGTACAAATATAAACATTTCAAAGCCCAGTAGTTAAATTAAAGCTAAACGATTACTGGATTTAAACCAGTAATCCTTTGGCTTTAATATAACTATCAGGCTTTGAGGAGTTTATCTTTGAATATGCTTTAAATAAGATATATTGCATTAAAAAAAGCAGATGTAACAATAATTAATGGTAAATGGAAATTGTGATGTCACAAAAATCATTTTCCACCCCTCCCCTATAAGGCATTATGTCATATATAAACATGGAGAAAACCATACAGGTAACTTGCTGTGCCACTGGCCCAAGTCCTAGTCTGATAGTTAATCTGGCATTATTGTTTGATCATTGGAATAATGTATTATTGAATAATATTAAGAGTTTCAAAAATAAAGGCAGGTAGCAATAAAAAGTATAAATATACAGAATGGTTAAATAGGTCAGACAAATTATTTAACTGTAGAGAGTTAATTCATTATTGTCAGTAGAAAGCATAATTTGGCCTATTTCAAGCCAAACAGTTATGAAAACACGTGTTTAGATGCCATTAATAAATTTATTTAAAATATATTTTTCAGATTTTATTTATTTTATATTTTTAAATAATAACTTTTATGGTTTTCTAATAAATTTTTTATCAGGACATTGCAAATCTTGGACCTGCAAATGATTTTTACAAGAAGCTTGCATTAGATTGTTCAGGACAACAAATAGCAGTTGATTTATTTGTATTAAGTTCTCAATATTCTGATATTGCTACACTATGTAAGTTTACTTTCATTTTTACAAACTTGCATCATATTTTTTAATGAACCTATAACTTTTTAACATACCATTGTTTCATTTAAAATTCTTTAAAATAATTATAAGTGAAAGTTTTATACATTTATTTTAATTAATTGGTAATAATAATAATTTCAGTTTTATCATATAAAGTTTTTCATTGGCCTCTTTCATTTTATAACTGCATAAAATGTTTAAGGCAAATAAATATAATTTTTTAATCAAAACAGAAATAACTATGAAATGACATAATTTAATGCTAGAGTCACTTACTACTGTGTACTAGCTAGGACCATTATTACTGGTTATTTTGATTGGTTCATAACCTTCTATGAAACTACAACAAATCCTTTTTTGGTAGTATATGGCATACACCACACAGATTAGAAATAAAGAGTGTTATTAAGAACTTTTCAGGCACAAATAAACATTTAATTGCCACTCAAGTATTTTCAGTTAGGACAGTTTAACCTTATTCAGGATAAGGCATAACAGAAAAGAAGCAAATCTGGAATTAGAAATTTGAACTAAGTTCTTCTACATATTAATATATAAGGACATAAACAGATACAATAAGTAAAAATTAAATTAAAAAATGTAAAAACAAAATCCCAGTAAAATGTATCTAGTGAGTTGGACCAGTTAAATGCAGATTTGGGTTAAGCGCTATAATTAATAAGATCTTAAGATTTATTTAAATTTATTTGTTTTACTCTCTACAATTATTGTTAAGTCTTTAGTCTTTAGAAGTACTAACAATTTATAAGGTTTTAAGATTCTTTAAAAATTTTATATATATAAAATTTAAAATGTGTTGTTCTGTTCTAAATGTTTAAAAGAAATAGTTATATTGTTTCAAATTTGTAAATTTGTTTCATTTCTTGGAGATTTGAAGCAGTTTTGTGTTTTACATCAAACTTTCTCAGCTGAGAGCAACAGTAATACCCTGTCAAAAGTACTTAGGTAAATCTTGTTCACTTAAACTGTATAATGTCAAAAGACAGTTGTGTTTGCTTTCTTTTTCGATATGATTTTGGCATAAAGGACTTTTGAGTTCTTTTATACTATTCTTGAATACTTTGTAAATATTACTTTGCAGATTTCAAGAGAAAACATGATTTTTGTACTTTTTAACATTTTATCTGTCTCAAAAATATGTAGATTTTTGAAATTACAAAAAGAAACATTAATAAGTTGGTTTTTAATATGATGATGATGATGATGATGATACACTATTGACCTTAATTGTTTGTTGTTTTAATGTAAATGTTAATACCATTGGCCAACTTTTTAATTTTACTCAAATATATTGTAAATTGTGATATTGGCATAGTCACAATTGTTTTGCAGAGGCACAGCTTCTAATTAAAAGTTGTGTCTGTAAGTGAAAATTGTTTTGGACTGTCACTGGTGTTTGAAATTATGAAAAAGAAAATAAAGACAATTTTATATTGTAATGTAAATCCTTCACAAAAAATAAAAAATAAAAAAATCTCATGAATGGCATCTCAATCTACAATATATTGATTGTTTTAAACTCTCTCTTGTAGCAACTAATTTTTTCAATGCTCAAGATTGTTTGTTCTAGATTATTCCAACTCATTAGGACCTACTATTTAATTTTAACTTTTGTTGATATTTGCATACACATTTCTACCTAATATAGCCCAGACGTTCTCCATTGGACTGAGATCAGAACTTTCCATAAATTGCATTTTTTTCTTATTGTAAAAGGAACATTTATTTATAAAAATTAGATTAGACTTTTTTCTTAATACGACATATACTAAAAATGTAATCAAAACTACTATTTGAGATTCTAATAGCAAAAATTATTATTATTTTTTTTTTTGGTTTAATCTTAGGCATCTTTATGACTCTTCAATACTCAAATTATTCAAAGAAAATTGGCTTTACACATCACCAAAAGTCAAAAATTCTTTAATAAATGTATCCAAGGTTCCTTGTGTTTTATTTTTAAATCCCAGATAACTTAGAATAGAAATTTTGAGAACCAACCATATTCTATTTGTGCTTCACAAGTTTCAATTTTTGAATTTGAATGAAGAACAATTAATTTACATGAGAATATAATTATTATATATAAAAATTGCAAAAGAATTAAAATACATGTTTTTATTTTTTATGCTCCAAAACTTAAATATAAATTTATATTTAAATATTAAAGTATTGATTTTTATAATTCAGAAAGTTTATTTAATTATGTATGTTTCAGCTTGTATATCAAAGTATTCTGCAGGATCTGTTTTGTATTATCCAAATTTCCATGTAACTCAGTCTCCATTACAAGTGGAAAAATTCAAGAATGATTTTTGCCGGTATTTAACAAGAAAAATAGGTTTTGAAGCTGTAATGAGAATAAGATGTACCCGAGGTAAAAAAATCTTTAGAAACAATCATTTATTTATTTAAAATATATGCATTTATTATCATTATTTTTACCATATATCATTCTCAGATTATGTCTGGTATCAATTTCTTGTGCAGCATGATATTTCCTGCATGTGTCATCCATGGTATCATTGATGTTTCCTATAGACACTTGTACTAATGACTTGTTTTGTATTGCAAGCCTAAAGCCTTCTGTTTTTCCAGAGATTCCCATCTCAGCCAGTAGTTTGATACTGCTTTATCAACATGTGGCTGTGCAAGATCAGTTGGGAGTCTATCATGAAGTGTTTTTCCTGTCCATGCTTGCTGTTCTATGTTTACAGGATCATTTGTGTTCATGCTTTGGGTGTTCTTTAGGTTTAATGGCATATAATTATCATCAGTCTGAACAACTGTATAGTTAGTAATGATGATTGTTGTTTAGTATGGAAGAAGCTTTCTAATGAGTTTTTGTTTTTGATAACAAAACTTAATATGTATAAGACTTCTGCTACCCTCCAAGCATGAGAGGTTAAGCCTTATCTTAACAGAATGTGGGTGAAGTAGTCTGTACTTAGTGAGTATTGTTTGGGTTTTAAGGTTGAGGTCTTCAATGTCTCTGTTAGTTTATTGAATGGTGCCAAATGAGTAGGTGAATAGTGGAATAGCATGTGTGTTGATGGCTTTTATTAGGTTTTTGGAATTTAAATGTGTTTGTAGTACTGATTTTAGTCTGTTTTCAATATAGTTTAGTAGGTTCTGGTTTTATTTTTCTGTGTTCAGTTAGTTCAGCCTGATTAAACCCCCCGATATCTATAGATTTCTCCTTTCTTCATAGTTATGTCAAGTTTGAAGGGATCATCCTCAGCAGCTCTTTTTCAAAGTGCAATGTTTTACATTTATCTATGTCAAATTCCATCTGGATATTCTGAGAGTATATCTTCATGAGTTAGTTTAGTTTTGTACATGTAGGAGTGCGTATTTAATATCATTAATGTAAATAAGATGTGACAGTGTGTTTTGTCTGTCTGTGTGTCAAGTTAAGTTATACCTATTTGGTATGTTTTTAAGTGTAGTGAGTAGAATCACTAAAAAATACCATGTCTTATGGGGATTTGATCTGTTACAGTTCGTGTTAAAGAGAGATGTGTAACATGGTTTTGCAAAGCTGCATTATAGTAGTTAAAAATGTGATTAATTTGGGGTGTACAAGCTTTATGTATGGAGCAGCCAGGAATGTGAAACATTCAAAAGCTTTCTTGTAATCTATGAATTCAGTATGAAGGTTTCTGTGTTTTTGATGTGCATGTCGTAGTATTACTGAGTTAGTCAAGAGTTGCTTTTACAGCCCATGTAGTATCAGTGACAACCCTTTTCCTGCTCTGTAAGAACATTGTTTTTATCTTTCTTACTTTTTTTTTTAATTATAGGCTTGCTCTATTCTTACACATTTTAACTAAATAATCCTATATTTATAGGTATAGTATTTCATTCAGCAAGTAAAATATCCAAAGGTTAAAACATACAATTTATTCAATTCTTCCTTCTACATATGTATTTTGGGTTGACATGAACTCTCAACCTCTTCCAGTGCTATATAATTTGTATATGTATTCATAAAGAAACAACCATAGGTGGAAATTCAAATACAAAAAATGGGATGAACGAGTTCAAGATTTTCTTGAACTTGTGCATCCTGTTTAGTTCAGAAGATTTTGATCATAGAGCACAACATGTTAGTCATTTTTGAGAAAAATCATATACTTGTCAAATTTGGCATATTTATTCAAAGAGCACTTAAATGCATACAGAATGAATAAAACTGTTTGAAAAATGTATGCAATAGCACTCTTTACCTGAAATATAAAAATGATCTTGTTATAATTATAGTTATTTTTATTTATTTAACTATTTTTGTAGGTTTATCCATCCATACTTTCCATGGAAACTTCTTTGTTCGATCAACAGATTTGTTATCTTTACCTAATGTTAATCCTGATGCAGGATTTGCCATGCAAATTGCAATTGAAGATAATTTAACTGATTCAAATTGTGTATGTTTTCAAGCTGCTGTACTATATACATCAAGTAGAGGTAATTATATAATTTTATTATAAATTAGATTTAATTTTGTTGAAACAAAATTTTAATTTGACACAGGTAGTGATTCATAATTCTAAATAAATAAATAAGAAACTGTGTTACATCAATAGATTACATGAAAAATATTTATGCTAATACATATAGGTTATCCCTTAAGTCTGGAACCATAGGAGTTGCTTTTTGTTTATTTTTTTAAAGGTGAATGGTGCTGAATGAGAAGGTATGAATTTAAGTCATTTTGATGGTGGAGACTCATAGTCAATGAGAAGTTGCCAAAGAGTTTAACAGGCTGCTATGCTTGATTGGTAGGAAATTTGGATGCAGCCTGTTAAGCTTTTCAGCAACGTCATACTAACTGTGTGTCCCACCATCAAAACAACTTAAATTCATTCTTCTTCACTCAGCATCATGCATATAGATATAATATATGTAGTATATATATTTATTTATTCAAAATCTAACAAAATTTTACACACAGGATCTAGTTTTGTAGCACAACAGTTGAAAATGATGTAATTTCCAGTTACATGAAGAGTTTTAGCTCAAAGACTTTTTCTATATTTTATCTTATAAATTTTTATAAATAGTTATAAATAGTTATTTTTATGCATTTTATATATAAAATGCACATCTTTAAAATCACTTATTGTTTACGTATATAAGAGCATATTTGCTGCAGCACTGTAATTAGTAGTGTGCCACTAAAAATTGTAAATTGTTACTTTGACATAAACATTGAGAACTGTTGCTATATGTAACTTTTATTATTAAGTTTATTGTTAAATTTGATTTAGTGCTAATTTTAGAGATAAACAAAATGGTGCTAAATCAAGACTTGACTCTATTTTTAATTGCTCATGTAAACTTTATAAATACAATTTATCCAGCACTATTCAAATATGTACTTGATTTTTAAAGTATTTTTCATTTATTGTAATTAATTATTTTTACTCTTTTTGTAAAATATCTTAAATTTAACTGCCATAATTTTAATACCTTTGAGTTTCAAACTGTACAGTTGCCTAAATTATCTATATTTATAATTATATTATATTGTTCATAAAACTTTCATTTTCAGTCAAATATTTAATTATTAAATCTGGATTTTCAAGTAATTTTAATTTTAAATTTTATTATTATTTTAGGTGAAAGAAGAATAAGAGTTCATACTTTAAGTTTACCGATTGTTTCTATTTTGTCTGATGTTCTTGGTGGTGCTGATCAACAAGCAATAATTGGATTACTTGCAAAAATGGGTTTGTTCTTATCTGTTGTTTTTGTGACTACAGTAAATCCTAACAAACTCAAACTAATAGAGGGTGAAGTAAAAGTTGTCCAAGTTTACTAAAGTCTGAGTTAGAAAGATATTTTCTCCAATGATGTGGAAAATGAGAAGGTGGATGTGGAGTACAGTAATCTATTATAATCAGTTCTATATAGAAGTTTTACTGAGCTTTAATAGGTTATACTGCTAAATTCATTATTAAAAAAATAAACTGAAAAAATTTCACAACAGTAAAATTTACAGTGTTTAGTAACTTGCTGATTACAGTAATATAATGAATGGTAGCTCAAAGACTTCTGGGTATCAAAAACATTAACTGATTATAATTTTTCTATTGTCAAGAAGTCTTAAATTACTGTATAATATTTTGAAAGAATTTGCTCAAATTATTCCAAGTTAGAGGGGAGTTTACTATATTTTGTTTTCTCATCTGATAACAGAAATTCAATAAATCCACTTAGTTTATAAAAGTCAAAACTTTATTTCTGGACTAAATGCTCTTCAGAATTGCTACATTTGATATTTAGATTCAAATGTAAAAATTAGAATAAATTAGAAATTAAAGTATAACAATAAACAAAGTTTAAATTTTTAAGAATATGCTTTTAAAATACAAAATTATTTACTTAAAACTTATTTACTTAAAACAAGAAAAATTATTTACTTAAAACAAATATTGCTTTTCAGCAATATTTGTTTTAAGTAAATATTGCTTTAGCAATATTTACTTAAAACATTGCTTAAAACATTACTTAAATACATATATATGTATTTATATTGCTTTTCAGCAATATTTGTTTTAAGTAAATAATTTTTCTTGATAAAGTTGTTGATTTTTATGAAAATGTTTAATATTTGTTTGTGCATGAAAAAATTTATTTTAAATATGAAATTTAAAATAAGTTTAACAAGTCTAAAAATGACTTTATTAAAATGATGTCAGCTTCAGTTCTGTGCATGCTTATAAATACAGAATATTTGAATAAATCTAAGCAAAATTCCAGTTGTACAAAGTTCCAGTACAAAGATAAGTTTGTTAATCTGGCATTTGATGATCCAGAATTTCTGGTAATCAGGCACCTTCTGAAAAGTCTATAATCCAAAACCAATAATCCAAAATTTTAAATTAAAAAAAAATGTTAAAAATGTGTGCTGTGATATCTGAGATGCCTTGAGACACATGGAGGATTAAAATGAGGCTACTGCACTAGGAGTATTTCTCTTCATATGAAATTTCATGTTCATAGTTAATATCAATTTTTTGCAATTCTCTTTTTAAGTATCATTTTATTTTTTTTTAAATTGGAAATGATCAAAATATTTGAGAGTAACCTCATTATTTAAACTCTTCACCATTCTTTATTGTGTTAATTTTCTTTCTCTCAAATAGATTTATTGTTATATTATTTTTATTGATATTAACGAATTCCATGATGTCAGCTCTTCAGCTGTTTTCATATGCAAAATGAGAAACTTGAAATCATCTTGCTCATTACCACAGAAGAATAGTGTTAAATATTCCTTAGATATGCATAAATCTCCTTATTCAACTTATAAGTTTTTACTGGCAATTTCTTTCATTAAAACCCTATCTTGTCAGCATTGGAGATTTATCTTTGTGTAGCTTTCCTTTTTGATAACAGTTGACTCATTTGTGGGAAGCTTTCACCTGTAAGTTGGTCTGTGAAGCTTACACCCTGCTCTTTATCTTAGGTAATATACATTGCTCAATTAGCATTCATTAGCAGACAGATTTCTCCTTTACAACTTTCCACTGCTTATGAATTTGTATATGATATTTAATTCTTTCTTCTTGGTGTTTCCTTCAAGCAAGGGTGATTTTTATCTTCAGTTTATGATAGTAGCATTAATTTCATGTATCTTTTAATCCATTGTTAATTTATATTTTGTAGATTTTGTTGTAGGGGCCTACTAGTTAATGCTTTTTGCTGTGAACTGTTAATGTCTAGATGCTCAATGTCAAGTATAATTTTATTACCTTCAGTTTTGGACGAATTTCAAGCTGTTTATCAAAGCTCATTATTTTTTTTTTCTTTCTTTCAACGTGTTATATTTATTTAATAAACTGGTTACATCAATAAAATAATTTCATAAAACAAAATTGTTCTGTAGTACATACATTTAGCAAAAAACAGGAACACTACTAGGAACTAGTTTATAAGTATGTGCACTTTTGCTATTGAAAAATAAATGAACAAGGCATAATTTTATTTTCACAATGAGCCAGAATCAAAATTTTGAGCTATGGATTACAACCTAATTTATAATGTTGTTATTTAATTACTTGTTAGTAGATGTCAGTGAAGTATAATATATGTAATTCTTTTAATAAATTCATTTTAATATTAAAAATTAACCATTGAAATTATTCAAAAATATTAAACATAAAAGTAGCCGTCTTCAGCATTAAAAATTACAATTGAATAATAAAAAGACACGTTATTGTTTTACAAGATTTTATACTTGCAAGCACTTTTGATAATTAACATATTATTGCAATCAGGCAAACTGATTGAAATTTATTCATTATTAAATATAAATTGTGTATTTTCCAATTGTTTGCTTGATGATGATGATGTATTAATAATCAAAAATGGTTGATATCTTGCTTGGCCAAGTAAAATCATGTAAAACAATAATGCATCTTTTGATTCAGTTTTGATTTTTAACACTGAAGTCATCTTGGTTTGGGTCCATTTTATCTGTAATTCAAAAATATTTTATAATTCCATTTAATTTGGCAATATTATTTATAAATGTTGTTTTCTTTTTTAAATATATATTACATTTATGTTTTAGCTGTTGATCGCAGTTTGTCATCATCAATATCTGATGCAAAGGAGGCACTCATCAATGCTTGCATTGATTTACTAAATAGTTTCAAAATTACTCTTTCATCTGGACAGACTGCTGGAACTCTTATGACTCCTTTTTCTGCCAGACTTATGCCATTATATGTTTTGGGTCTACTGAAGCATGTAAGTTTACATTTTAAGATTGAAAATTTTTTCTTTAAAATATAAAATAATAGTCATATGAATAAATTTTTAATATAGCAAAAAATTTACATTGATATATCTAATGACATTTATAACAGTGTTTATCTAAGATCAGCATTCAAATAATCAAATTAGATTTAATATCAGGCTACATTTTGACTAAGTAAATATTTAAATGCTGTGTAATTTGGACTAAATACGGGTAATAAATTCAATAATTATAATTGAATAAATAATGTACAATATTCTGGAAGAAAAGTTCAATCCAGAATGAGACTTTAACTCATAACTTAATATTTAGCCTTCAACTGTGTTGACAGTTGAAGGCTAAATATATATATATAAAACAGTAAGTTCTACATTTTTCAAAATTTGTTTTCTGCTGAAAAATAATGTATCTGAACCTTGAGGAGTTAGTGTGAGAAATATTGTGACAAAGGTGTTTCCCAAGTTTCATAAAGAAATAAGAATAAAAGATCATAAAATTGTAAGTCAGACAATCAAACTCCCTTTCAATTAATATACAGATGAAGCAATCGAACAAATACTATGTGGACCACCAAGACTTTTCAATTTACAACATGATGTTGAGTATGTAAATTAAAAGCTTTATAACATAAAAAAATCTTTATAATTTTATCAAATAAAGGCATTAATCAAGATGACTGAATAACACCATTACATAATAAACAAAAATTTTATAATTTGCACGCTTTGCGTTCTCAAAGTTAACTTTTATATTTTTGATGTGCTGTGTTGTTGCAAGCAAATGCAGTGATCCATGATTTAGATGCCATGCAACTCAACATGTAATGAAAAGTATTTCTATAAGAAATTCAAGGATCTGGAGGAATTTTCAAATTAATCACAAATTTGAATTAAAAACATTCAAATTATCCAAGTTGAACTGTATTATATTTATTTAAAATGATGAAATAATATTTATTAAAAAATTTTATAATTCAAAAAATTAAATTATTATTATTTTATATTTTTATTTTTTAGGTAGCGTTTAGAACAGGTATAAGTACAAAATTAGATGAAAGAGTTTTTGCAATGGAACAGATGAAAACTTTACCCCTAAATAATCTGCTGACGTACATTTATCCAAATTTATATCCAATCCATAATTTAGATGATAAGGTAAGCTTTGATATCATTAGCATCCAAGTTAATCATAGAAATGCAAATACTTTTACAGTTTTAAAGGAATTTCTATTAATAGAAGAACAAATTTTATTATCATATGTTATACATGTACAGTATAACTGCAAAGGATATATAGACAGCATCATCATGTTGATTATTGAAATTTCAATAATTTTTAGGCTGTATGTATTAAGAATTATATTTAAAAATTTGTTTCAGTTTGAGATTGACATAGCATTTAAGTCCAGATATTATTATATACATAAAAGATGAGATAGAAAGTGCCTTGTTTTTTTTTAATCATTAAAATAGTTATTTAATTTAAGAATTATTTAACCTTGCTTACTATTAAAACTTTTTAATATAGGTATAGTGAAAAAGGTTATTAGGACACACTAATATGTATTGATTATAAGAAAATTGAACTGTTTTGAGATGTTAAATAAATAATGAATTCACTCAAAAATTACACACTGTAAAATACTATTAACAAGTGCTTTTAATATTTAAAATGTTTTTGAGTACTCTGAACAAACATAGAATAAAAACAATTTAAAATTTAACTGCAGCAGATATTGTGTGTTTAATTTTTATTTAGTTGTAGTTTTACATTTAAAATAATAATAATAATTAAAATAGGAATAAATTAAATTCCAGAAGTAAGAAAATGTAACAATTATCTACAAATGTATTGTACAATAAAATACCTATAAAAAATTCCAAAAAATATATTTGTAAGACAGGAATTATTTGAAACATTGATAACTACTCATGTTTTCTGTTTGACAAAAGAAGACTAAATAGAGAAACCAGCAATGGAATTATTTGATACTTAATATGTTTCAATCGATTTGTTTGAATATAAAGACTAACTTATTTTTTTACTGCTTTTAAATTTTTCAGAATGCATTAAACGAAGATGGTGTTCTTATACCGCAACCTCCACTCTTACAGTTATCATCTGAAAAAATTGATCGCCATGGTGCCTATCTCCTTGACACTCTTGATCATATGTATATATATGTCGGAAGAGCTATTAGTGATCTCTTTTGTATAAATGTATTAGGAGTTGCTAATTTCAATGCCATTCCATATGACATTGTAAGTAATATTAACTGTTGATTTTCAGTCTTAAAATAATTTCAAAGCTATTACAAATTTTCTCCAATGTTATCTGTCAAGAATACTTCTTAATGCTTTTTTTTTTTTTTTTTTAATATAGGTTCATCTGCCTGAATTAAAAACTGCTGAGTCAGAGAGAATGAGAAATTTTGTTAATTGGTTATCGCTGCAGCGATCCTTCTATTCTCCTATCATTATCATCAGGTACAGTTTGAATAAATTAAATCATAAGGCCAAGTGGGGTAAAATAGTTTTTAAAAATTAACTAAAAATTTAGTTTGAATGTTTTCATCCATTTTAGATGAATGCCATGAGTTTTCATGAAAAAATTAAAATATTTTTCTGAAATTGTTTTTTCCATAATCATTTCTTCATAGCATAACTCTTAGTATTGTTTATGGCACAAACATTATAACAACTATATGCTTCTTACATGCTACATAATTGCTTAATAATAATAGAGATAACATAAACTTTACATTTACTGAAATCAGACATAGTTTTTATAAATTTTCTATTAGAAATCATTTAATATTGTTTTTGAATTAATTATTTACACTTAAAGAAATAATTAAAGATTAAAATTTTTATAATGGAAAACTGTTCATGCAGTAAAATAATTATAATGTCAGGCTAACTTATAGAAAGTAAAAATTAAGGACATTAACATTGCGTGTGTTTTACATGATTGCTTAATCTGTTGTCTACAGAATACTGATTTTTCAAGATTCACTTATTTAATCATTTTAGCATGGAATACTGCCTTTTCCAAGAAATTTCAGAACATTTTATTTCTTGATGATATTAAAAATTTATTAGTTAGATGATCAGAACATATGTCATTTTAATAGATTAAATTACTAAATAATAGAAGTAAATATTTTATGAGTAATAACTATCAATTTCCTGTAGGAAGCTGACAGATGATGTCCTGCCAGTTTATGATTATAAATAATTATAATTTTAAACTTTAACTTGTGATTTCTGGAGAAAAATTTAGAAGATACATCAAATAACATTTGTGAAATAAACAAGCATGATCTAGCTAATAGTAAAGATCATTGTTACAATTTTTGTGATAACTCAGGATGTATTTTCTTCATAATTGAAGTTTAGACTATTTACAAAAATTAAATTAAATTTTCGAGTCTATCTTTTAATCCCTTATACACCACCACAGAAGTAACAGTTTTAAGTATCTTTGAAGAACACTTCTTAAACAAACCCTTATACAACACTTTGGTGGTGTATAAGAGATTAAACGATAGACTCAAAAATTTAATTTAATTTTTGTAAATAGTCTAAACTTCAATTATGAAAAAGATCATTGTCATTAACATGACATTGCAGCACAGTGTAGCATTGTCACATTTCTTTATGCAGTTCTTGAGAAGTGCTTTACAGCGAACACTCTGAAACCCGTTTCTAAATGTTTGCTGCAGCAAAGATAAAGTAGCTTTTACGTGTAAAGCAAAATGGATGCTTGTGTGTATAATACGATATTATGCTGTAAAAATAAAGTCAAAGTGACTATTGATGAAAATATTAGGAAGAATTAAATTTTATAAAATAACTCTGAAAGTTACCTAAAGAATAAGAAAATACTATATTTTAAATATAATTATATATCTCCTATCTCTTTACTTTTTTCACATGTTCAGAAAGAGAAATGCTCAATTCTTTATATATCCTTATTGAAATATTGTAGTTCTTTAACTAAAACAGTATTTTTGGCTGTAACTGGAATTATGGAGTTCATGTTTCACTTGAGTGGGAAGCATTTCTAAACTATGATGCAGTGATGTGTAGTGATAGCTCCTCGTGACATCATTTTCACTACATTCTCTCTGCATTAAGAAATGCGACCATTATTATCAGTTTCTATTTTTACTTTCTCAGCTCTACCATATTTTTTCTCTGTTACATAAAACAATCAGTGAAAAACTGATCCCCAGATTTTTACATTTTTGGACTCAGGACCTTGAAACTCCAAGAAATGCAAAAAACTTTGAAGGGAGATTTTTTTTGTGTGTGTGTGGCTGTAGCAGCATGATTTTGTTCACTCTGTTTGAAGCTTAATAACTCCTGTGCTTTTTGTCAAATCTCTGAAATTTTGCAATGAGGTTTGTTTATTAGGGGGATTGATGCTATTAAATTTTGGTGGTTAAAGTTCAAGGAGTGAGGATATAATGGGAGTCATGTATCTCCAGTAGGATCGGACTTAATGATGATTTTACCCATTATTAGCATTTACAATTTTTGTATAAAACCCATCCTTACCCTCAAAATTAAGCTTTCTGCCATTTTATTATAATTAAAAATGTAAAAAATTTTAAATAAAATATATCAGATGGTGTTTCCAAAATTTTTAAATGTTGCCAGGGAAGTTAAGCAACTTGTTGCTGGATTTTTCACTGTTTTAATACATGTGCATCTGTTGTTGTTCTCAGTTTTTGATAATGTCTCTATGAAGTGTTCTGGACTATCTAATCAGCCATTTCTGTTTGTTTTTAGATATTTGTAGCCAATATATTACTTTTCTTTATAGATAAGATCATTTAGAGATCATAAAGACAAACTAATAGTGGGTATTTGAGAGTAAAATTCAAAACAATGTTATTCAAAGAGGATTTTATATATATTATAATGTTTACTTTCATTATATTCCAAAAATGATAATGAATCCAGTGATGAGATGAATTTGTACAAAATTAATTAAAATATTTTTTAATTATAGAATACTTATTTTTTCAGTTTTTATATGAAACTATAAAATACAGTAGAGTCCTGCTAGTCTTGAACACTGCTAATCCAAACATCCGCCTAATTCAAATGTGTTTCAGTCGATGGATAGGAAATTTTTTAGCTCACAAAATATTTATTTTCCAGTTGAATTTAAATGGTATTAATGGTACAAAAAGATTTAGAATTTCCAACAAAAAAATATTGTGTTTTATTGTAGTACTGTATTAATACTGTACAAAATTAATAAATTAGTGTTTGACATGGCCTATTAAAACAGCAGATCTATATTGTACTTACAAAAACAGAAACAAAAGTCATTGGTGGTGTTGGATCTATATAAACTGGACATGTTTTACTGCTTGCTTCTGAATTATTTCAATTGTTCTGCTAATCCAAACAGGGCTCGGTCCCAATTAGTTCAGACTAGCAGGACTCTACTGTACATGAATTGATTCAAATTAACTGAAAATTTTTTATTCTAGTAATTAAAAAAATAAGAGATAACTAAGAATTATTGTTCAAAACTTTTGATGTCATCTACATTTTTTGTCGGCATAATAACAAGATAAACATAAAATTTGCTATAATTAATTTTGAATAACTTCAATTTTCTTTTTACTTTCAGAGAAGACAGCAAGAGCAGACAATGTTTCCTTCAGCACATGATTGATGATCGGACAGAATCAGTATTTTCATATTATGAATTTTTGCAGCATCTTAAGCAACAAATATCGAAATGATAGACTGACATTATGGACAAATGGACTTTACCAAGAACTAAGTGAAAAACAAATCTACCCAAACATATATATATATAAATATATATATCAAGAAATTGTACATTATATTGAAAATGTACAGAGCTGAACAATTGGTAATTTTTAAACTCTAGGAAATGATTCAATGAAATATAATAGCTAAGTTAACCTCAAATACGAATTTTATATTTACAATTCAAATATTTTGAAAATTGATGTTTTTGTGTCATTTATATCGAATATATCTCAACTTACATTGTAGGCAGTAAGCTGACTAAAATTTAGCGGCTAATAACTATACTATTTTTACTTCAGTTATAAGTTCGTTTATTCAGTTGTGGCAAAGAAGAGGAAAAGTTGCAGACTTGAAAAGAAGATTCTCCTTATTTAAACTAAATTTGATTAGATGGACTTTTTCATATTCTAAATAAACCTTTACTCTCTCCTTACCAAAAAGCTGAACTCAGGCCGAAAATGAGTACGATGCACTTCTCGTGGGAATGTTTGGAAAGGTATTTTTCGTCCTCAAGTCTCTGATTCTATGAGAACAGGAGATTTGTCAGAATAAAAACATGGAAAGAAATTTGTGCTAAAAGTTGCGGTTTATATATTATCAAATTGTTGATTTTTACAAATGATTGCAATAGATAAATCATACGATAAAAATGAAATTTTAAATTGTTGTGAAATAAAGGCGGATGGAAAGCAATTTTAATTAAGCTTTTGCATCCCATATACTGTTTTCGTCATTACAGAGTTTCTATACAAAATCTTGCATTTTGTAAGAAAACACAATTTCTTTTTCTAGAAAGATCTATCAGAATAATGATTCTCAGAGAAAATTTCAGCCCCCATGATTTACACGATTGTGGGTTTGTAAGTCTTCATTCTGGCATTCCAATCCTACACTTTAGCTAGTACCAAATCATAGAGGGGACAGATGATGATGTAAGTCTTATTTAATTCCAAAGAATTTATTATTATGTAATTGAATTAAATATTGGAAAATAAGAATACAAAATGTGCGAGGATTACTCAAAAATGGAAGATACAGTAACTCCACATATAAATGGTGGCCTTGAAGCATTGATTTCTTTTAATTTTAACCTGTCATTTCCATTGCATCCTCCCAGAATAAAAAATGAGTAATATAAGATCTCGCTCCATATTATCTGTAAATATAACCAGAACTGAACAAGGCAACTTGGTTTTATGCTTTGTTCTATAAGTTGAAGATATTTTAATTCCAGTTTCTGTTCAGGTTCTGTGATTGTAATTTAATCAATAACAAAATATAAGTGATATTAGAAAAAGAAGTCATTTCATCGGCATTCTCAGTACTTATCAAAAATTACTCACTAAATAAAACTTAATTCTGATCTGAAGTTTTCTCAAAGTATAAAAATATGAATTTCTGTATAACAAAAGAAAAAGAAAAAGATAAAAAATATAAAGATACATTTCAAAACATTTAGTTTTGATAGTTGCTGTTAGGACCCATTCAAGTATTACCTCATCAAATTTTTTTTTTTTTTATTCCTTTCCTTCAACATCAAGAAATCAAAGTATCACTTCCCCCTAATTTTGTCATCAGGCAGAAATTAAAACCATTTGCAAATACACAGTAATCATAGCCAAGGCTTCCCATTTCTGAATGTTGTGCAGTCTGTAGCACTCCACTATACACTATATTTTTACAAATCATTCCACATAATTTTTGCCTGTTTTTGACACTCGTAATATTATGCAAGTGTGCTTTCTCAAAAAGACTACAGAAGGTTTGATGAAGGATCCTATATCCATATTTTATCCATTTCTTCCACATACTAAGTTTTACACAGCACTCTCTGTAAGAAAGTTTTTCATATATAATTTAGAAAAATGCTAGAATAATAAGGAAGTCATTTCCACATATATTTTATGATGACTAGAAAGAGAAATAAATAATGGGTCAATCTTATATCAAAGACTCACTACTATTATTTTATCATCAGCAAACATGAGATAAAAATGAATCCTCAAAATTATTAACCTAATACAGTAAGGCCCCGCTTAACGCTGATTTGATATAACGCAGTCTGCTCAAAGCTCAAAATTTATGCTGATTTAAACTATGACTGCATTTCATTGATTCATATATAATACGATTATTTGCAAACACAAACCAATCAGCAAAAGGTGGCAAAAAAGGTGTACTTTCTTTAAATCTATGTATGTTTGGTGCAATTTTGGAAAAAATATAACATCATGGACGCCATAGGAAAGATCAACTTCATTTGGCAAGAATTAACTGATAAATGCACGAAGTGTGGAAGAAGTTATGGCTGAAGATATCCAAGAATTCTCAACGAGAAAAGCTTATTGTTGTATCGTTAGGTTGATCAAACTCAACCTAATCAATATAGCAGGACTAGGATATATAGATGAGCAGGATATTGAGGAGTTACAGTAGGTTTCTGGTGAGAGCCTTAACAACAATGACCTTCAAGAACTGGCAGAACAAGCAATTCATATAGAACTGGAAAATAGAGATTCTGAAAACGAAACAAAGAACCCAAAAAATTTTGTTACAGATTTTTTTAGTAAAAGTTTGGTAAGATAACTGAAATCGTTGATCAAATTGTAGCGAATGATCCAGATTTTGAAAGGAGTGCAAAAGCAAAATGGGGCATTTTGGATGCTATCTTCTGCTACCAACATTTGCTTAAGGAAAGAAAAAAGCAACAAAGAACAAGAATTTCAGAAAAGTCAGGACCTTCATCACAAAAAATGAACTTCACATTTCTGTGTGCATATGTTTGTGTTATTTAACATATATTATTATATAAATTAATATAAAAATAACTTAAAATTAAAGTAAAATTTGTTTATTTTCAGTCACATGTTCCCCTATTCCTATTTATTCTGTTAAAATCACCTTGTTTAACGCTGTTTCGCTTAGCGCTTTTTTGTCTAGGAATGCATTAACGTGGGGTCTTACTGTACTTGAATGGTCTCTTAGGGTTGAAGATATGATTTTTTTCCACAAAAGAAAAGATATTAGTAGGAATTTATTTTTCTGTTTACTAGTATTTTTTTATGTATTAATCTAGGTGGGGTTATAATATATTTTTTTTCCTACCCTGAGGACACTAATTTTTAGTTGTGCTCATGCTGGGTTCAGCCACACCTACATGTGGTGGCCAGATGGTGAGGGATATATCTCAACATAGGTTAACTAACTAAACCAACAACTCCTGAAACTTTGAGTAAGTCTGGACTAAAATCCAGATTGATCAACAGGCTAGCCTTTACTGCCTTGGTTACTTAGCCTTCAATCCTAGCCTGTTAGATGTGCTACTTGTTTTTGAGATCTTTAATATAATTTGAAAATTGAAAAAGTGAACTTTGCTCAATTTAAGGTAATTCTATTTTTGCACAAAACCAAGCATGTCTACCAATTTCTAACTCCTCAATAGCCAGTGATTTAAGTGCTCATCAGTTGCTAAGTGGATAAAATCATTGAACATTGGTTGTTAATCCCAGGTTTGTGTCTGACCAGCAAGCTGCCTATATGAAGTTTTCCATGTTTCCTTTGTGTTTAACACCTAAACAGACTGCAAAGGATTATGCCTGAAAAGACTACTTTGGTAAATTGCTCTTGTTTTACATTGCCTTATCAAATCGAACAAACAAGTGATACAAATTTAAACTTGAAATTTTAAAATGTTAAAGGTCATAGAAACTTTAAAATATAGTAGATTACATTGACAATTAGTAAAATCAATTTTCGAAATTTCAGCTTTCTAGATCATCTGTGGAATGGAGACATAAAGATTCAAAGATCTGAAACATAAACACACACAGGACAAAGGGACATAAAAGGAATGAGATAAGTTTCCATCTCTGAAAACCATAATACATGAACAGCAATGAAACAAAAACAGATTTTTTTTATGATTTATCAAAACAAATTTTAATATTGATTTTCATATAAAAAATTACTGTATTTTGGAATTCATCTGAGTCTTGCGTGATCACCAGTTTTCGTATTAAATGAAAAAATGTTCAACACCATAGCATTGGAGTTTTTTTTTTTGTGTATATAGATGCAAGGATTCTTTAAATGTAAAAGCAAACGTATATATCTAAGTAATTTTAAGTGAAAGAATGTAATTATACTGTAATTTCAGTCAGATTATCTGCCTGAAATTACAGATTGAAAGGGGTGTGGATCATTTGTAAATTTTAAATTCTAGTTACAAGCTAAACGTTGATTCACAGAATATGTATGACTGGCCAGTGGCGGTCAATCAGTCCACTGAATCGACAATTATTTATCTGTATGTCTGACAGGAATGACAAACTTGTGAGGAAATTCTGTTTAAAAAGTTAAACATTTTGAACAAATAAACAGAAAATTTTAACATGGATAATAACATTATTTTTTGTTCAATTTTTTTCAAGTTTATTTTATTAATATAGATAAACTGGATAAAGGTAATTAGTCATAAAATTAAAACAATAAATCATATTTATACTTAATATACACTATTGCAGATGTTTATAAATAAACATCTGCAAACGTGCCCAATTGAATTTTAGGGGTGATGTCTTTGCTATGGCACACTGGAATTGAAAGTTGCCCTATTCTTTCAAGGGTAATTTTCAACTTAAACCTCAGGAAAAGGTACTGTTAAAAATAAACCCTGGGAAGAAAAGCATGAGAAACAATAAAGTGCTGCACTATATAGGGTAATGTAGTTTAGAATAAGAGGTAAGGCATTTAACTAAAATTCAACCTTTTCAAATTGTCCAAGTCAGAGAGAACTTTGCATTTCATGGTTCACAAACATTTTTGGAAATAAAATTATAAATATTGTCAAATATCTAGCATGGGAAAGTTGCAGATGAGTTCATGCGTAAGTCAAAAGGATAACAAGGAAAACTTGTGGTTCAAACTTCATCTCTTGAAAAGAGATGGATGAGTTTGAACCAAAGATGATAGTTAGGATCTTGATTCCTATGACAGCATCAAAGCAGACAATGTAATAACCAAATTGGAAGGTGCTAAGTCAGGTTAATTATGAAAACTAAAATGATTATTTCAAATTTTATTACCCTTAAATACGGTGAATAAACAGTTTTGATAGTGTGGAAAATGTACAAGTAATTAAGGGATTTCTTTAAATCTATACCCAATCCTCCTGTTTTGAGATGATAAACCCAGGTCTTCAAATAAATTCTGGGCTATGTGTGTTTTAAAAATGAACCCTTGGAGTTTAATGAAGAAAATGCAGTATTTAATATTTTAAGGTGTATAGAAATATTAATGCAAAATGAATTTCTATAAAGTTTAAAGAAAAGGTAAATATTATTTTTAGTGTTTATTTTGTTAATTATTTTCAATTAATAATTACGAAAAAATTTACAAAAAATTATTAATTCAAAAATTATTGTAATAATTAGTTAATGTAATAAGGTAACAGTTTAACAGAATCCATACGTTTCAGAGCAAGAAAAAACACTCCATTAATAAGGTATTTTCACTTGATATAATGAGTCATATGATGTAATGAAAACACTTGTCTTGTAGAGTATATAGAGAAGCTAATAAGTTGGTTAATTTTGAGAAAAATTAAACAAAATTTTATAACACAGAGGAACAAAATGAGTGCTTCGTGTTGTGCCTATGGATGCTAGTGATGATCAAAAAGAGGATTGTATTGAATGGGGTAAAAGAATATCTTTTGCCCCATTCTAAACCTAATTTGTTATGAGAATGGATTTATAACAAATACATGTATTTGTTGAGCACATTTTGAAGAGGATTGCTTCATTTACCAACTGTTTATCTATGGCTGATTCATTTCCCACAAAATTTATATTTAATGAGGAAAAACCAAAACCAATAAACAATTATTTGTGGTATCATCACAATACCTAGCAGTAATATTTTATCATCATTTAATGTAAAAGAATAACATGACTTCCATTCCGAAACAGAGTTTATATGTAGTTGAGATCTCTAGCCCCTAGACCTTCCATATCTAATCTTGATTTTAGTGGTATCTTGTCCCTATACATCATACTTCTGATAACAATTGAGTCATGCCAGTCATCTACCTGGCAGAACATTGAGTTGAAATCATGTCACTTTTGGTCTAGACTGGAAGTTGTATATAGTTAATCGGGGCCTCTGGCTTTCAATATAAAGTCTAGATTTTCATCTAACTCCATTCTTGAAACTAAGAAAGACAATGGACAACAGTGGAAATGTAGTACAGCTCTGCAATTTGAAAATTACAGCCCAAAAAGAACATCATATACTTTATGAGAAACTAATGAAGATCAGAAATAAAAGGTCAGTGATTTCAGTTTACAATGAACTGTTAATAACAAATTAATAAACTTAAGTAGTGATGTTATATTTCTTTTATGCCAATATTTGATACTTAAAAGTTTGTTTGAAATTATGATTTAAAAATTTGATATGTTAAATGAAAAAATTTAGTTATTTTAGGTGTTATCACACTAAGAAACTTGACGCCATTATTTTATTATAACACTATCCATTACAATATACATCATTTAACTCCGACATCCTAATTATGTAGTAGTTAGTAACTGTCGACAGTGAACCATAGTCTATAAGTATTAAATTATTTTTGTAGAATCCTTGAGTTCCGGAGAACAAAGTTTAAGAAGCACAATAACAATGCTTTAGTGGCTAGAAAAAATTAATGTCAATTGCAGTTCTTATGCACTTCTCCAAAGGGAAATTGCAACACGCGAAGAAATCGCCACATGTAAATAGCCACATTCAAACTGCAACCGTTAGAGGTGACAGAGATATGAAAATGCGTACGTAGCGAATCATGTGGTACCCAGTTTCGGGCTATAAAGACCAGCAGCCGACTCGGGCCGTAAATGCTATCAACGACGGTTCGCGGCATATAATCATATTTAATTTTATCAAATTATAAATATTTACAATTAGTTCTTCGTTTATCGGGATGGTTCCGTTTACTACGATCCGGGAACCAAAATTTAGAAGCTATTTTACTATTTTTATTATAAAAGTCCTAACAAATTTGTAATATTTATTATTATTTATTGTACAATAAATTAAAATATTTTAAAAAGAAAAAAGTGAAGTTTATTTCGTAAAAAAAATAATAATAATAAATAAATTTTATACGATGAAGCTGGCAACGTTTTCAGAAGAAACAACATGGCGTGCTTTAGGCTATTTTTGTTTTGAATGTCGAGATCAGAAATGATTATGTTTAATGACGTGAATATTTAATCAACATGAAGAATTGAAACAACACAGATTAAGAATAATGAAATTTAAGTAAATCTATTTATTATCGGTGAAATTGCTGAAAAGAGTCTGAAGTAAGAATTCCTTCCTTTATTTTTCGGTAAATCTATACCTATGTGCACCGTCATGACAGCACAGTGGGGACCCACGGTCTAACTTAACCTAACCTACTCTACGGATCCCCACTGCAGCCATGACTGTACACATAGGTAAAGATCAACCTATTTTTCAATCATAAAACAATTATTACAAATTTTGTTGATTTATTCTAAATTTAAGTGAAAAATAATCTTAATTTCAGCTTTATCAATCAGAATTTATATAATTGGCATAGCTTTTCAATATTATTAATCAATTAATATGTTTAAATTCTTTATTTGTGCAGTAATTACAGGTAACTTGATAATATTACTTATGTATATACAGACTACATAATAGGATTTTGTAACTTTATTGTTTACATCATAAAATACCTAATTGTTATCTTGTAAATAACAATGTCTTTACAACCACCATAACTTGTTTTTTGTTGTATGACATTTCAGATACAAACTTTAGTGCATTGTCTGATAGGGATCCTTAAAGCAAATTTGTTCTAGAACTGGTTGATCTGTCTTGTTTGTCCGAAATGGCAGTTAATGTAGCAGTTCGGTGTTGATGAAGGGTGAGAAGTGACTGTGAAGTTCGCTTCTGACTTTTTGATGGTTGCGGTGAAGAACCAATCCGATTGGCAGCGGTATAAATAATGGTGGGTGTGTTCGAAAAGTTGGATCCGACCGAGCGATGTCGAACGGTCGAGACTCCAAGAATAGCTCGGGTGATGTTTTACGGATGTGTTTTTCTAGCTAAACGTGGCAAAACTCTTAATTTGTCATAAAAAATTGTTTCTATTTTGTCAGCAGTAGTCAACAATGATAAAATAGTGATTATAATTTATTGTTGCTTTATGCATTTAGATGAAGTTGTTGCACTTATTGACATTCACTAATGATACTGATACAGAACCTAAATGTGACCAAGTAAATGCCAGAATTTCTTATTGATGTTGTAGCCAGAACTGAATTTTTGAATACATTTGGCTGACATTAAGCAACAGGTATGACTTCTTGTATCAGAATTAGTAGAAAAACTTCAATGGATATGACATACTGTTTGACAGCTAAATTGTATGAGTGTAAATGAATATATGAATTCATTTTACTTTTCCAGCTCTGATATATATAATAGAGGAAAAGTATAGTGATTGGTCAAAAAATGACACCCCGAGATTTTTGTTTTTGGACTCTGGGGACTTTGAAACATCAAGAAATGCAAAAAAATTCAGAGGATTTTCTATGTGGGTGGGGGACATAATTTTGTTCACTCTCTTTGAAGCTTAATAACTCTTGTTGAAATTTTTCAGGGAGGTTTGTATATTAGAGGAATTGATGCTATTAAATTTTGGTGGTTAAAAGTTGATTGGGTGGGGAGATAACAGGGTCATGTCACGTCTGGAGTAGGGTCTGACTTATTGACAATTTTACTCCTTATTTGCACTTACGGTTTTTTATAAAACCCATCCATACCTTCAAAATTAAGCTTTTTGCCATTTCATAATAATCAAAAATATAAGAAGTTGGTGGCACACGTTTTAAATGTTGCTGGGAAAGTTAAACAAATCCATGCTGGATCTTTTGGAATATGGTCTGATAGTATCAGCTGATATGACTGTTAAAATGGTTTTAGTGCAAAAGCAGCTTTGTCAAAAGGCAGATTAGCAACTCCTGTTTTACATTTTAACCCCTGCAAAATAGTGTAGAATGATTTGCAAATGTATTAAACCTTTCAAGTTAGGAATTGAATTATTGGTAAACAGTTTACCATAATCAGTTTTAAAAAAAGCATCAGTAAATATGCTAGTAATTGATATTTTCTGTTGGTATATTTGGTAAAATTAGGTAGCTATGTAATAACTTTTGGAAGCTAAATGTTTATTCTGAAAGAAGCTGTTGCTTTAAAAATAGATGAAAAGGAATTTAATTGGACTTAGTTGACTATAGTCTGTGCAGCAAAAGAATAAATGCAAATCAGCCTGAGCTGGAAGGATCTATGTCAGATGAATGGGATGGAAGGAGACATGGAAGTTGATTCGTGGATCACAGTAATAAAATTATTTGTGACAAATGGAAAAACGTTTTAAAAATGTGAAAAACAAAACAGCTGAAAGAGATAAGATACATGTGTCAACTACCCCATGTCTCTTCCATCCTTTTCATCTGACAGACCCTTCCAGCTCATCCTGACTCATGTCTACTCTTTCACTGTGGGGACTGTAGTGATTGTTTAGTTTCTGTTCACTGATGAGTCAACAACTAAAATCACTAATGTGCTAATTTTTTCATTTGGAATCAAAATGTAGCAATTACTGGTAGTTTTGAAAATTTACCATTTTACTAGTAATAAAAAAGTAAGTTAGTTTACAACTCCTATAGCAAATAGATAATATATAATATATATTATTCTCCATGATTATTATCTATTAAGCTGCCTCTAGTATTATAACATGAATTACAGTTTATAATCTCTGACTAAACATTTTGATTTATGTGAAAACAATAGAAGTCTGAATAAAATACTGGTTAAGATATTGCTGGAAAATAAATTACTGTTTAAACCAGTTGGTTTGCTTTAATTTGTTTCATTTACTAACATCAAAGTAACAGTAGATGTTTTCTCAGAAAGCTACTAGAAATCATGTTAAGTGACAGCTAGCAAGTTTTCTAGACAATGCATCCAATTATACAGTATGATGTTTTACATTGCTAGGCAGGGTGTAATTTTCAGTCATAGTTTTCTTAGTCGTCTTAAATTTGATAGATTAGATAACAAACAAGTACAGTAGAGCATCAATTATTTGAATACCGATCAACTGAAACATCGGTTAACCAAAAGTGATCCAGTCGGCAAATTCAAACTTCCATTAGTGCTGTGGTGCTGCAATATTTGGCTATGTCTTGGACTACTCCAATATTTTTGTTGGTGTACGTGTTTTAGCTGTCGGCACTGGCGTGACCATATTGTATCGTTAAAAATTATTTCTTTATTTTGTTTGTGCAAAATAAAAAAATAATTTCTAACAATACAATATATAGATTATTTTTAAAAAATTTCATAAGGCTTAACATTAACAAAAATCAACGTGAAGCAACACGCAATGGAGAAAAATTTCAGCATGGGATAGGTTAATATATTTTTTTCATACATGATCGGTTATCCGAACAACCCCAGTCCCGAGTTGTTTCAGATAATCGATGCTCTACTGTATATCTTTCTGTTAAAAATCTATAAATGAAAACATACAAGTCATGTAGTGCATTAGTTTTTATTATTATTATTAAAGTTAGAAAAGATTGTAATATAATGTATAAATCATAACATATTATAGTGTTTCTTCCAATTTAAGAAAAGAAACATGACATTTACATGAGTATTTATTGCAATTTGTGCAAGTATAAAGCAGTTTTATTGTCATTTTTAGAAGGACAAAATTTACATCTTGCATGTTTACTGGTATTGAGGATGGTGCCACTAGTAGAAACATATATCTTTTTTTTTGGAATTAATGATTGCTTATTAATTCTTTGATAGCCTTTTCTAGATTTGAAATATGGAGTTATCAAAGGCTTGCCCAGTTTTTCTAAAGATATCCTTGTATGTAAAATATTTTTTCTTTCATTCCAGATATATTTTTGTCCATAACATAAAAGCATTGTAAGCACTAGTGTCGAGTATATTGTAGAAAATGATTACTTTTCCATTTGCATGTGTGTGTTTCAATAACAGTCTCACAGTGTGGAGTTGAATAGTTTTCTTTAGAGGCTTCTTGTCCACTTCAATATGCAAAATGTTAAAATCTTCCCTCTGTTGACGGCATAATTAAAAAAGTATATTTAATAAAATATTAAAATTTATTTATTAGACTTTTAAAAAAGCGTGACTGAGGTTGCCACCTGTCCGGGATTGAGTGAGTTATCTCCGGGCTCCGGGGTTAATTAATATTTCTCAGGGTTGTGCAAGTTGAAATGAATATGTACAAAATTATATGCAAACCGTCGCATATATTTCTTCCCCGTGTACCGAATTACTAGTGTGGTAGTCGTTGGTTTAAAGACGTAACGTCTATAACTGGCATAGGCGCGGTGCTGCTGCATGTTATGTGGATGTACTCTTTCTTGTGACTGTACTGTCAAGAGATGTCTATTGAGAGTGAAATGATATAGCGTACATAGCTGATAGTTTGATAATCAGTGTTCATGTTGGTTGATGATTAATGGTAAGTTATAATATGTAGTTAGAGTTAGACTTAAACAGGTTAAATAGCATTACATAACAAACGGTCTGTTGGACCCTCAAAAGAAAAAAATACATACAGTATATATATATATATATTATTTTTGGATGTTTTTTAATTCAAAAATTTTTACCCGCACAAAAAAATTTTATCGCGATTTTCATCAACCTTTAATGACGTACGATTAACACTTAATTGTTTTTTACAGGATTTATATAAATAAAAAATATTGAAAAAAATAAAAAAAAAAACTGTATATGTATGCATATGGGGTTTTTTTTGGTTTCTTAAATCTCTGGGCGAGACTAAGTTCTGAGGTGGCAACCCTAAGCGTGACTCTGTAGTGAGATTATTTCCTGAGGTGTAGAAAGGACAAGATGAAGACACTTCTGAAACAGAAGGTTTCAGAAGTGTCTTCATCTTGAATTTTGTCTGTCTGAAACCTTTTTATAAATTTTCTGTTCTTTTCCTGCCATTATAGGCAGATCTGGTTTATTTTTCTAGCAGTCCTTAACATTTTAATGTTTTTTTTTGCACTTGTCCTAACATATATGAATTCTCTTAAAGGTGCTAATTTGTCAGGTTTTCTTCTCTCCCGATGATTGGATTTATCATCAAAACATTACACGCATGATACGAGGGGTGTTCAAAAAGTATCGGACCTTTGGTCGGCAAAAATACATTTATTGATTTTGAGGTACAAAACCCTAATTCCCTTCAAAGTAGTCTTCTTGGTAATGTATACACTTCTCCCAGCGCTCCTGCTATTGCTGGAAACACTGCTGGAACGCATCTTTTGGAATGGCCATCAGCCAGTCCGTCGCATTCCGCATGATGTCTTCTCTTGACTAAAATCGGGTTCCTTTTAGTGGCATTTTCAGCTTGGGAAATAGCCAAAAGTCACACAGAGCGTGACGAACCACAGGAATGTTGTATTTGGCAACGAAAGTCCGAATCAGATGTGCAGAATGGGTGGGTGCATTATCATGATGGAGCTGCCAAGTTTTGGTTGACCACAGATCCAGTTGTTTGCATCACACAGCATCACAAAGACGATGAAGGACCTCCTGTTAGTACTCCTTTGCAACGGTTTGGTCTTGTGGTGCATACTCACAATACGCCATCCCACGGGAGTTGAAAAAACTGTCAACATGACCTTGACATTGCTGCGGACCTGCCAATCTTTTTTTGGCCTCGAGGATCGTCCCTGAAAGCCTGCTGAATCTTGCGAATGGTTTCCGCTTGAGTATTGCCAAGGTTTTGGCAAAATTTCAGTCATTTTCCAACTTAGTGGAATCCGACGAGCACTCACTACATGTCCTCACTCATACGCCGACTGCCAGAGACAGACGCTTCCTGCAGGCGGGAAAAAATTCAGGACTGTGCATGACTGTCCCCTCCATAACTCCACCGAAAGAGACCTCCCGTGCATCATTGGTTTACGTGGGAAAAATAAAAGTCTGATACTTTTTGAACACCCCTCGTATGCAATGAAAATGTTTTAACAACATAAGCTTTCCATAAACTTTTGGTGGATTTACCATATGATTTATATACATCAGCTAGCAATAACAAACCCATACATGCTTCCAATGTAATATAATCTAACTCTTCCCAATCATTATTATAGACTTCTTACCTTCATTTTTGGTCATTTCAATATAATATTCTCAGGTGTGGTGTTCAAAATTAATTTAATGATGACTATATCAGATATTCTTGAAACAGCATATCTTTTTGGACCATGAATAACTTTTATTATATTTGCATTTGATGTTCTTTCTTCCATGTTATGAGTGTCAACATTGAAAATTTGTATTAATACTCTTCATGCATGTTATTGCAATACTTTCAGACTGATGTGTGTAATTTTTATATTACCACAGAGAAATTTGGGTGTCATTTTGGAGATAGGACAAAATGCTTCAATTTTTTTAAAGTAACATATTTAACACTTACTGCAAGTTTTGACATTATTATTCCACTACAGAGTGGAATAATAATGTCAAAACTTACATTATTATTCCACTCTGTAGTGGAATAATAATGTAAGCTTTATTGTATTTTTATTTTTAGTTTTTAAAACTCCAAATTTTTGGTATTCTTGTTGATCTGATGTTCTTATCTTTAACACCAATTAAATAAGTCAAGTTTAGTTTCAGTAAAATTTCAGAACAGTTTTATAAAAATCCACATTCAACAGCAGGCATAAACTTAGGTTTAATGTCTTTTTTCTTCTCCATTGAAAGTAGGTTTACTGCAGCAGCAATTACTATAGTTTCATCTTTGAAAACTCAGTCATTTAATCTGATTGTTGGACTCTTAATTTTTGAATGCTATTGCATTAGCAACTTGTTCTAGAATGATATTGTCATTATTTTATTCTTGTGATGCACTTTGTACATCACCTACAGTTCTCCGTTCTGCTTTCTCTAGCAACTTTTGTTTTGAGGGTTTACATGGAAGTCCTTTCATTTTTGCAATAATAATTTGTCATTGTCATTTGTCAAGTCATTGTCAGAAGCAGATTCGATTCATCTGTAGATATGTCTGCGTCATCTGCAAAAATAACAAAGAAGGATTTGCAAAAAATATTACTGTTATACAGCAATAATGAATTAACTTTTAAATATATTTCTTGGATTCCTTCAGGACAAAAAACATAATCTTAGTATCCATGACTATCTTAAAGAGCATTTAAAACATCAGCTTCCTTCAATGAAGCTGAATAGTTATGTTTCATATTGACCCTTCTAGAAAAGAAATAATTACTTACTTTTTGCAGATAGCATTGTCTGCACTGATAATATTTATAGATAAATGTATAGCTCTCACTGTGCATTGAGACTAACAAAGAAATTGTATTATAATGCTACATGTCTCCTGTATTGTAATGTCATATATCCTTGGTAAACACTTATTCCTAACATAGATGAATCATCAAAATTTTTGTCTTGAATAATCAATTTCCAGTGGCAGTTTCTGTTTAATTTTTTTCTGTCATAAAAAAAATGAAAAATTATGATGATTTTAAGCTAAGTATTATATATATATATATAGATTAGGTTTATTATTTTTTATAACAATGAATTTAGACATTTTTGTAATGTAGAATGTTTATTATTTCAGTTATAAAAAATGTCTAATGTTACATCAGCAAATGAAGATGTTTCGGGTTCAACCCAGAGTAACTCACAGAGTGGAAGCGGTGAATCCAACAGACAAAACAACTTACAGAGAATTGCTCAGAAAAAAGCACAAGTCAAAAATTGGCCAAGAAGTAAAAAATTAGAAAAATTAGCTATTTATTCATCTTGTACAGTGAGTAATTTCAAACAAAAGACTACATAAACATATTTTATTTCTTATAGTCTAAAGAGGTAAATTAATTACTGATGTTTTCAGGCTGAAGATGGGTGTAAGTGTAATGGTTGGAAAAACCCAAATCCACCTCCTACTCCTCCTCGTCTCGATGGTCCTCAGCCTCTAGTCAGTCTCAATGATCCCTGTCGAAGTTGTGGACATATTTTAGGTATAAATGATAAAATTACTTAAGTATATTTTTATATATTGAAAACAGAAGTTGATTATTTTCATTTTTGTTTTTTAGGCTCTCATGTTTCACATTTAGAAACTGCTCCAGAGGAGGAATTAAACAGATTATTAGGTATTGTTGTTGACGTGGAAAATCTCTTTATGTGTGTGCACAAAGAAGAAGATGCAGATACCAAACAAGTTTATTTCTATTTATTCAAGGTAATGAAAGATCATTTATGAATGTAATTTTTGAATCTTTTCTTCATAAATTCATTCTATAAAATGGCCATAAAATTTAGATAAATAGTTTGTATTGATGAAAATGTTGCATTTAAGGCATCCCATTCATGGCAATTTTGCACAGTGCCTTGAGGATATTATTTATTTCTAATGAAATACAGCATATTGAACATGTTGTGTATTGTAATATAATATCAATAATTTATTTATTGATATTTATATTTCAGACTGGTCCCTTATACTTGTTGGAAGTTTTATGAAATTCATAAAATTTTATAACAACTATCCAAAATCAAAGAAAGACATTTTGTATTCTAATTTCTTAAAAAAATGTTCTTCCTTAAAGAGGAAAGTTATATATCTAGGATAGCCATTCTCATCCTAATTTCAGAGATGATCCCTTTGATCATTTCTCAACTTTCATATGTGTCTCCTCTATTTTTTTCCATAACTATTGTAAGATATGGTTTCCATAAACATATTTAACCAATGTATATTTCTCATCAAATTTAAATATTTTTTGGAAAATACAAACAATTAATTCTTAATTGTTTATTTTTTCACGTTTTCTTTAAGCTATCACAATTGCCAAAAAATGTGAAAAACATGGGTAAACTTAAGCAGATAGTTAAGTTAGATTGAATATTGAAATATATATTTTTTATTTATCAAAAAGACACTGTGACTAAATAGGCCTTTTTCAAGTATCTACAAACAATAAAAGGGTTGTACAAACAATAACCAAAACACAAGCTGCTACTTAATGTTATTTTTTGATTCTTGTAGATTAGTTAATAATAATCACTATAACATAATTTTTTATTGGAATAGATTAAATAATGACTTAAGAGAGGTATCAAGCTACAAAAAAAAAAAAAAAATGTAAATACAGTAGAATCTCGATTATCCGGACTAATTGGGGATGAAGGTAGTCCGGATAAGGAAAAATCCGAATAATCGAAACAAATACTTTAATTTGTCTTTTAATGATAATATAACACATTTTCTTTTCGATGACATATCGGTAATATTAAAAGTAAATACTGTATTTAAATCGTGATCAAATTTTCAAGAAACTAACGTTCATATTGAATTTGGACTACTACTGATCAACGCTAACAGACTACCTATTGTTTAAAAGGCCCTCTGGTGGTGCAAGAAGACGGATATCATAAAATAAAAAGCAGTTGAAACTGCATTTTTATGAATAAAAATTTGACAAACTATTTATCATTTTATGACGAGTAAAATTTTTTCTTCGCGTTCGCGGCTTTTAAGTAATGCATAAACCTTCGAGGTGCGAGGCCCTTCGGACCGCGAGGCATAGGCGGTGGCCCACTTCATCCATGCCTTACACCGTCCTTGGTCATAGAAATGATATAATTTGAATATAAATTATTTATAAATACGTATGTCAAGTTATATTTTTATTACTATGTAAAATATATTTAAGAGTTTACGACCACTGTGCTAAGTGAGACGACGTTGAAACAAAAAAAGTTATGCATTTCATCACATACATAAACTGTCGTAATTCACCAATTGCAAATCAGCAAATTCGTAAAATTTTTGTTTATTTTGAACAATCCGGATAATCAAAAATCCGGATAATGGAGGTTCTATTGTACTTATCTGGAAGATTGGTGCAGATTTTCCCACCGTTAGTTTGACAATTGGAAGATTATATCCACTAGTCCTACAAGTATCCCATGTCGATACATTTCGATGTTCACTTACCTTGTTCCCGAGACAACTGTTTTCTTTATTACCCTTTATAAATTTATAGCTCTCCAGTAGGACTTGTTTTGTGTAAATTTTGCATATTCTATCAATTTTGTCAGTACGGTAAAGTTTTGACACTGATTCCCTGAAATGTAGATTATAAATTGAACGAATGAAGCGATTTTGTACTACCTGGAGTTTGTTAATTACATGTAAGGATGCAGTTCCCCAAACTGATATTCCATATCTTATTTTAGATTCCATGCATGTGTGATATACTTAAAAAGCTTTGAATTTTATTACTTATCTCAATATACTTAGCTAAAGACAAGGCAATGTCATCTATTTTTATACTTAGATACTTTATAACATTTAATCTTTCAATTTCAATTTTTAGGTGATCAGGATTAACTTTTTCGTTTCTATTAGCAAAGCAGAGGAATTTGTTTTGCTATTGTTGCTTACCAGCCTGTTTATTTCCATATAAATATTTAATTTTTTTAGAATGTTGTTTAAATTCTCTTGTAGAATTTGAGTTTTTTTATCAGAAAAAGTTATCACTATATCGTCAGCATACAATATACTCCACACAATGCTATATTATAGTATTAATTATTATTATACATCACAAAACTTGGTGACATTTTATTTATATTTAATTACTTTAAATTTGGCTTTCTTAATATTTTTATTACTATTATTTGTTGTTTTGTTTCAGCTTATCTAAAAGACTAGCTGATTTCTTAAGTAAAGATAATTTGACAGAACACTATGCTTTGTACACCTATCAATGCACTTAAGCAATAGACTTTCCATTTTATCTATTACTAAATGAATGCTGACTAAGAGACCATATTGTTATTAGCAAAAACTAATAGAAACTTTGACAGCTTTTTTCTTTCTGTGAGCACAGTCAAATTTAATACATGCACAAAATCAACATAAGATGCTCCATAGACACAATGCAAAGTTATGATAATGTGATGTATGTACTGTACATTCCTGAGGAAGGAAGTTAGTAACTCCTCTTGCTGCTTGAGTAGCACAATGCCTCTAAAAAGATTTGCTCAAAACAAACACTAAGGTAAACGCACCGGTAGTGGACACTGCACGAGAAGTGGACACTTTGAACTTCAAATATGAGTAATAAGGTTGTAGATGGCTTCACTGTTCAAACATACAAATCATTCAGTAGACAAAACTTCTGTCTACTGAATGATTTGTATGTTTGAACAGTGAAGCCATCTACAACCTTATTACTCATATTTGAAGTTCAAAGTGTCCACTACTCGTGCAGTGTCCACTACCGGTGCGTTTACCTTAAATGTTATTTTTTTTCTTTTCTTTTTGCTTTTTCAATAAAAGGAAAAATCCTCTTTGGATTTCTTTTAGTTAGCAAAATAGGTTTTAATGTAGATCTTTCATAAAAGTGAAATGGCTTAAGAAAAACTTTTGTAAAGTGGAGGATACCTGTATATAACAGATTAAACTTATTTATAATTATATAAAATAAGATTTTGATAACTAGTAACTTAAAATTTATATATATTTGATATAGAAATTTATTATTATGGTTATTTTTTATTTATTAATATTTTCTTTGTTTCAGTTGTTACGAAAGAGCATACTTCAGATGACAAAACCTTCTGTAGAAGGACCTTTAGGTAATCCTCCATTTGAAAAACCAAGTATTGCTAAGGTAAATATAATTAAGTATAATAAATAGTTATAAAATATTTTAGTTATTATTATTAAGACTTAAGACTTATATTATTTCTTTCTGTAGGGAGTTACAAATTTTGTGATTTATAAATTTGGGCATTTATCTGCTAAAGAATGGCAAACTATGTATGAACTTGCTAAAATGTTCCTTCATTGTCTGAACCATTGGAAACTGGAGACTCCTTTGGCCAGACGGCAACATTCTCCCAATGAAGATGTGTCTGCATATAAAGTGAATTATACAAGGTAAAATCATGGCTTTACTTTGTACTTTTCAGTATGAATTCAAAAATATTGATTTTTATGATAATGTTATAAGGTGGCTGTGCTATTGTCATGTTCCTGCATTCTGTGACAGTCTTCAGCATTATGAAACGACAGGTATATTTGGTCGTACATTATTAAGATCTGTATTTCAGACGATGAGAAGACAGTTATTAGACAAATTTCGGGCAGACAAAGATAAAATGCCTCCAGAAAAGCGGACATTAGTATTAACTCATTTTCCAAGGCAAGTTCAATTTAATGTTTTTTAAAAAAAATTGTTAGAAAACATTATTTAAATAAAAAATAATTAACTTCTTAGATTTCTTTCAATGCTTGAAGAGGAAGTTTATGGTGCAAATTCTCCAATTTGGGATCCAGATTTTAAACAAGGTCTTATTACAACCACAAATACAATTCCAACAGAAAGAGGTAATTGTTTTTATAAATATTCCTTAATTTAAAACATATTCCTTAAATATATGATAAATTAATTTAGCTTCTTCTGGTACAACTACAAATGGTGGTCCTATAAGAAAATTTGAGAAACTCAATGTATCTACCTCTCCTGAAGCAGGAAGTGAAGGTTTCACTACCATCAATCTCAGTCCTGGCTTGCTTAGTGTAGCTAGAACTCCTAAGGCAAGTCAAGCTACAGAAGGAAATGGTATGTTTGTTACACTTATACAGTAGACTCAGAAAATTTTTCTGTCCCTTCCTCTTCAACTTATTAAAATTATGGAAAGAAGCATTATTTTAATGAGAATGTAAACATCATAACACATACAATATAGTTAGACTTAGATTACATTATATTTTATTATCTTTTAGATACATACATATACACAAAATATTCACACTATTAGTGAAAAAGTGTTACATGAGATTGTGCTGAATGATTAGTTTCTAGAAATCACCTTGAAAAGTCAAGAGCTTACATATAACAGTAGTGTATTATTTGTCCTTGACAGGATTTGTTTCTACCTCACTTGTTTGTCGTTGAATAAAAAAAAAAACAAAAAATGTCATTTTCAGATAAGTATGAAAAATTCTGTCAATGTTGACAGAATTTTTCAATGATACTTTTCATCACTCTTCTTTAATATAGTCACCACAAATTCCAATTGACCAAAAGCAGTTTGCAACTGTGCTATCATTCCAAGCTTTGTTAATCATTTGCTTTGCATTTAGCAGGTTCACTCCAAAATCTTATAATCCACCTTCAGTAACATGCAACATTAAATTATTATATAGAAAGCTTATCATATATAAAATTTGTTGATCTAAAGGTTGCAATTTAGAACTTGTATTTGATGGTAAAAATCAAACCAGTTAATTTTAATTGTTCCAACAATTAATATAGGCATTTAGTTTTTCCTAATAGATGTAGATTTTTTTAAAAATTACATGGCTAACGTCTAATTTTTATTGTAAAAAATATTTTACATAAAAATTTTAAAACTAATAGTGTTTGAATTTTATAATAAATCTTCACCTAATGCTGAGGAGAGCATGTGGAAGACCTTAGGACTGAGCTCCTGGTATAATATATCAATTGCCATATTTTCAGATTTAAAAATGCCATGTTAGTTACACATTATGAATATGAATAAATAATCTATGTGGTAACTCAAAGTTTCACGGTGCAAAAAAGATGGGCTAGAAGTGTTGACAAAATTAAAAACAATTTATTGTTACAGAATCAAAGTTTCCTAATTTTTATAAATTAATAAAGGGATGGATGAATTTGTACTTTAATAATGGATTATAGGATTTATTAATAAAAACTGCTTTTTGCCCTTTCAAAGATAGTTTTAGGATTACAGATTAATAATAATAATAATGGAATAAATTACTTTTATATAATAAAATTCTTAGAGAACTATTTATTCAGAATTAATAAATTGTTAAAATTAGACGTTTTAACTAATTAAAAATTTAGTTTGAAAACTTGATCTTTTAACCTGTCCTACGTTGGAACTTTTTGACACTAGATGTCACTTCGCGTCACAATTTTTATATTAAAACGAACTTTTAAAATATATTTTGTTTGTGAAACATAATAAGCCTAAAATAATTTTTTACGATACAGTAAACAGGATTAACATCGATGAAAATTTAACATGGCGTCACAGGCAACAAATAAAAATTTCAACATCGAATTGGTTAAAGATCAAAAATAATAATTCATTTGAATCAAATTAAATATTTTTAAATATCTGTTAGAGTAGACTTTGTGGTGATCTCTAATTGGAATAAGAGTCAACTAAAATAATTTTTTGCTGGTTTATGAGATTGGCTTAATTTACCAACCAGTATATATTTTTTTTTTTTTTAGCAGAGAAAAGGCCTCTTGAAGATACAAGTTTGCAAGATGCAAAAAAAAGGAAAATTGAAGGTAGAAATTTCAGCATTTTAACTAATGTCCTATAAAAAAAATCAAGGATTTACATTATTATAATTTTTAATATAGGAGATATTCCAGGAGATGTTGTAGTAAAAATTTTAGCAACCATATCAGATCCAAGTAAAATGATTGGACCAGAGGTAAATGAATATAAATTTTTAAAGTTAGTATTTTATAATTATTAAAACATTCTTCTTTTGTAGACAAGTACATTTGCTGAAAATGCGGCACGTGATGAAGCTGCAAGATTAGAAGAAAGAAGAGGTATAATCCAGTTTCATGTGGTGGGCAATTCCCTTACCAAGAAAGTTAGCAGACAGGCACTAATCTGGTTAGTTGGTCTCCAGAATGTTTTTTCTCATCAGTTACCAAGAATGCCCAAAGAATATATAACTCGTCTTGTCTTTGATCCGTAAGAAAAGTTTTTGAGTTGGTTTATGCAAATGCTTTAAAAAGATTTAAAATGAAAATCACAATTTTTTCAGAAAACATAAAACATTATCACTTATAAAAGATGGCAGAGTCATTGGAGGGATTTGTTTCAGAATGTTTCCAAGTCAAGGATTCACTGAAATAGTGTTTTGTGCTGTAACTTCTAATGAACAAGTTAAGGTAAAAATTACATATTATAACATTAATATTTCTAAATGAGTTTAAGAACTATATATATAATAATAATAATAATAATATTTAGGGATATGGTACTCACTTGATGAATCATCTAAAGGATTATCATCTCAAACATAATATTTTACACTTTTTAACCTTTGCTGATGAATTTGCAATTGGTTATTTTAAGAAACAGGTATTTTTAATTATTTCATTTTTATGTAATTGTTGTTATGAAATATCACTAAAGTAAATTTTTACAGGGCTTTTCTAAGGATATTAAACTTCCAAAAGCAGCATACATGGGCTATATAAAAGATTATGAAGGTGCAACTCTTATGGGATGTGAATTAAATCCATGCATAGTTTATACAGAATTTACATCTGTAATACGAAAACAGAAAGAGGTAACATAATATTGGCCATTAAATGTTAATAAAAAGTAAGCAGCCAAAAATAATTGTTTGATTATTTTTAGATAATAAAAAAATTAATAGAACGACAACAAGAACAAATGCAGAAAGTTTATCCCGGTTTATCTTGTTTTAAAGATGGTGTCAGGGAGATTCCTATTGAAAGTATACCTGGAATAAGTAAGTATATTTTACATAACAAATTCCTAAAAACAGACATATTTTGAGAGATACAAGTTTTTAGTCAGTGCTAAAATAGTGTAGTTTAATTTATTTTTGAATGTCAGTTTATTATTTATAATGAAATTTCATTTCTTCTTTTATGTGAGAATTAATAGAAACCATAATAATTACTGTAATTATCACTTCTCCAACATGATTACATTTATATTCATTTATCTCATAAAGTAATTTTCAATATTAATATATCTATGAATCCCCTGTAGATAATTAATATTAAAAATATGTAGTATAGTTAGTTTGCAATTATAAAAATTTATAATAACCAAAATCTTGAAATTTTATTTTATTTTTTGTTTTCATTAAATACAGCTAAAGTCTTTTTCACACCTTTTGTTTTGTTTGTGTGATATAATGTTACTGGGATCAATGCAAACTTTGCCCGTTTGCTGAACTGTAGGTTAGCTAGTGCATGTACTCCAAGCATTGGTTTATCAATTGACAATGTAACACCTGAAGTGATCATATTATCAAGTTCCTTTTTAACTTTTGATTACAGGGAATATATATCTGCCTACAAGTAACAGATTTTATTGAAAACTCAAAATTTACACTGTTAAGTCATTAAAAACATATTCAGGCACTAAGTACATAATAATTAGTGAAATCTCACACCATATAAACTACAAAATTAATCATAATTTGAAGTTTGGACTATGTACAAAAAGTCTAAAATAACTTTTGAGTCCATCTTTATCCCTTATACACTACCATAGAAGTATGAAGAACTCTTCTTATACTTCTATGGTAGTGTATAAGGGATAAAGATGGACTCAAAAGTTATTTTAGACTTTTTGTACATAGTCCAAACTTCAAATTATGAAGAAAATACATCCTGAGTAATCACAAAGATTGTACAAAATTAATATTAAAGAAAATACTACAGTAGCTAAACATTGATGATTGCTTCAAAGATTTCACATTCAATAATAATAATACAGTAGAGCATTGTTTATCCAAATCAATTGGGGACTGAGGTTGTTCGGATAACCGAATATGTACGAAAAAATATATAAACTTATCCCATGTTGAAATTTTTCTCCATTGCGTGTCACTTCTCGTTGAATTTTCATCGATGTTAAGCCTAATGTATACTTTTTAAAATAATAATCGTGGCTATTGTATCGTTAAAAATTATTTCTTACAAACAAAATAAATATATTGAAAAATATAAAAACCAAAAAATATATACTTTAGAAGATGATCTAGTATCAAAAACATTCAATTCAGCCCTACACACAGTCCTCGGAAAAACACCACACAAAAGTGCCAGTACTGCCAACTAAAACACACACACCAACAAAAAAATATTGGAGGAGCCAAAGATTGCAGTGCCACAGCACTAGCGAAAATTTAAATTTGCCGACTGGAATGCTTTCGGATAACCGACGCTCTACTGTAATAGCATTCAAATTTTAAAAATTACACATTTCTTGTTTAAACTTTAGCACAATCTTAACCAGTGCCCTCTAGTGTTTGCCAGTCCAGTCTTGTTTATAATAAGCATTGTTGAAAGCCATGATACTATTAAAAAGAAATCAAAAATTCCAATTTGACCAGTTAATGTGATCTCTTTTTGAGGAGGATCCTGTTGCCAAGCACAAAGGCCACCAACAACTGTCTTTGAACAGTCAACCAAAATAACATAATGTTGCAACTGTGGCACAATGAGCTTAACTTACAATTATTGTATTTATAAATAATTACGTTTTCATATTTTTGTTCCAAGGACACAAAATGATTTAATTGTGTCATCAGAACAAAAATATTGCTCTGGAGTCTTAAAAACATTTTTGCAGTAACTTATGTAAATTTTAATAAGCTCCAATTTACTTGAAAATTGAAATAATAGTCTTCCATGCATGGTATTTTGTTTGATTTATAAGATATTATAACAGGAAGAAAGGAAGGAATGATATCAATTAAAATCAAAAATAACTGCTATGATGAACTAGTGAATAATGAAAAGACAAAGGAATTTTGAAAATTCTATCACTTTCAAGTAATGTGAAATACATCAAATAATTTTAAACTATTTAAATTTTCAATATAATTTAGACACACCTCTAAAAGGTCTCATTTCATATTAATAAGTGCAATTTCAAACTGATTGGTATGACTTTGTTTATTTTTTAGGATTTTAAATTATACATTTTTAATTTAATATTTTCTAGTAATACATTTAAAATCTTAAAATTTATATTTTAGGAGAAGTTGGATGGAAGTCAGATAAAAAAATGTAAGATAATTTCAGTAATGAAATCATTCAAATGTTCTATAACTCATTCTATATAATTTTAAAAATTGTTGCACATCTTTAAATATTACTTTTATTAGTGCTGTTAAACAAGAACCCACCGATCCTGAACAACTCTATCAAACATTGAAAACTTTACTGAATCAAGTTAAGGTGAGTAAGATGATTTGAAGAGCTGAGAATTAAAAGTGTGCTTAGGGCACTACATTTTGCTTTCCTGTAAAATATTTTGAAAAGCTGGAAGTAAATGGACTTTTTAATTAAAATGCTTTCAGTTAAAAAAAAAAAGCTGGCAAGGACCATTCCCCAACATTCCTAGTACTTGTAAATTACGTGGAACACCATCTGTTATAAGTTAGAACCTGAAATGTGCATTTATTTTCATAGGTTGAAATGCATACAAATTTTCTCACTGACAGAAATGAACATGTGACAATTGTAACATAATAGTTTTCAAATCCCTTGTGTTGCTAAACATGTATTAGAATAATGTTTCACAATCAAGTCATTTACATGCTTGATCAGATAAAAGGCATATACAGAAATAAAATTTTGTAACTAAGTGTTTAGAAAACATTTGTTAACCTTGAATGACCAGGTTAGCATATATATTTTTGTTTAATTATAGGCCCCATACAAATAATAATGAGAAATGAGTAAATGCTTTTAAGGTTTAGTGTCAAAATCATTCCCAACTGACTTGTTAGTTTTAGCCAAATAGAACTTACCTGTGGTCAATCAACTGCTGTTTTGACTTGCTTCGGCACTTCATGTTGCACCAATGTAAGGATGTTTCAACACACTATGACACTTAATATAATCTGTGGTACACACTAAAATCAAGTTTTTTCTATATGTTCAAAAATGTCTAGGATCCAAATTCCTTTATATAGTTTCTTTGCACTTCTTTTGCTGTTTCATCCATCTTTTTTGTGCATGCTCCCTATAAACATTGATTATGTTATATTTAAATTTAAGGGAGATAAGTCTTTCAAAAAATCATGTAGCATTACAATAATTTTGAGAATTGAAAAAAATGAGATATCCATAGCAATGCAAAACACGTTCATTTGTGGGAGTTTAAAAGGATGCATGTTAGATGGTTTAAATTTTGCACACTTAACTGTAATTAGATGGAGTGGAGTTGATATTTCTTGTCAGCTGTACATGGACAAAAAAAAAAGACTCATTATACATAGCAGAAATGGAACATTTGCAACCATACAACCAAGATGTAAAAGTTTATAAAGTACTTACTTAGTCACAAAAATGGTCAAATCTACAAAATAATTTGATCCACTTGGGCCCACTTTTCACAGGATTTTCTGCTTCATCCTTACGTAGCATTAGATGATACATTGAAAGCTTCCCAATCCCATTATTCCTATCTGCCTCTAACATCTTTTGTTGGAAAGAATTTCAAGAATATCATTACATGTTTCTCACAAACAGTGATTGGATTACCTAGTTTATGTGTGCCAAACAGTACTTCTATTGTTGTGGACCTGCAGATTTATTTGAAATGGTCTGAACTAGGCCATACAGGTACGTGTTCTGCAGTCATTATATATCCTTACCCATAGTTGTGTAACAGCAGTCAGCAAATAATAAAACTGTTTTCGGTAGTTCTGGCATCTTTATTTCAATATGAAGTACTAAGCTGTCGTCCATGACACACGCTCATTTTTCATTGCAGTCTCATTAGGCACAAAAAGCTCATATATAATCTGAATTGTTGTGTGAAAATAACTATGTAGCATGCTTGAAGTGGAACCTGAAGTGGCCAAATCTGCCACATTATGTTCATTAGCAACCTCATCTACATTATTATGATATGCCTCTTGTCTAGTCTTGGTATAAACTTGTGAGCCGTATGTTGGCCTTTTTGGACATTAAGTGATTTTCTAAGGCTGATCTTGTGTTGAGTGATGGTTTAATTCTAGTAATAAAGTCCAACATAGTTCTCACAAGTTTATACTCAAGAAAACCACCAAGAAGATTTTAGTAATGTCCAAATCTTTGCTCAAATGACCTTTGATAGCCCTCAGACATTCTTCTCAAGAAGACCAAACCTTGTCACAAAATAGTCAAAGCAGTGTTACAAGTAGGTTTAGAGTGATACCAATGCATCACTTTCACCAAAATGACTAAGCCCACATCTAATTCTCATCTCTTCAGTTAATATATTTTAACTAAATTATATTCTAATTAGAATCTGTTTTTATAGATCCATAATAGTGCATGGCCGTTTCAGAAACCAGTAGAGAAATCCGAAGCACCAGATTATTATGATCACATTAAATATCCAATGGGTGAGTATATTATCATCATCAGTTGCATTAAAATAAGAAAACAAACACTTTATAATAATAATTATATTACTCCCACAGATCTGAGGACGATGACTGAACGACTGAAAAATAGATATTATATAAATAAACGCCTCTTTGCTGCAGACATGCTTCGAATTTTTACCAATTGCCGAGCATACAACAGCCCAGATACAGAATATTACAAATGTGCCAACACGCTGGAGAGATTTTATCAAAATAGAATGAAAGAGGCAGGACTTTGGGACAAATAGATATGTTTACACAACATTCCTGTTTTATATGTTGTGATTATTTAAATGTACTATCATCTGTTGTTCAATTTTGACTTTTAATAAAACATGTTTTACCTACAGTGAAGTTATTCTCAGAATTTTAATTTAAGCTCTTCTGTTTTTATTGCAAGTGCTCGGATGTTGAATAAACAGTCTGCAGCTTCTTCTTGCATTTTCCTGTTTGTCGAAGCTATCTTTTTGATGAGATGCTAAAGATATAAGTGAATAAGTTAAGGAAGAAACCATTAATGATACTTATTAATTCTACAATGCTTACACGAACTGCTCCGTCGTTATGCATTGTTATGCAGTTAGCTGGTTCTAACGATAACTGATAAAGAGCTGTAACTGCTTGACATTGAATGTCTTCAATATTTGACTGTAGGAAGGTAACTAATGGTGAAACTACACCTTGACTTCCAAATTTAACTCTGTTATCTTTCCATGAACAGCAGGCAGCAATGGCTCCAGCTAAATGTTGCTGCAAGTGGATGTCAGACTGAAATATAAAGAGAATCAGCATTGATTATTTTTGTACCTCTATTATTATTATTATTATTATAATATATTCACCATATGACAGAGTTGTGATAAAAGATTGACAATCCCATAATCTGTCATTACAGCCAAATTTTGTTCATCTCTAGCCACTTCGCTAATCAGAGCACATACTGCTGTTAGAAGTTTTGTATTATTAGAGTTTAGAAGACTGACAAGCTGCTCCAGACCTCCAACAAAGCTGTTGACGATGCGTCCAGAATCCTAGAAAGATTGTTGGTGAGAAAATACTTTTTAGTGAACTGCAAATTAATTTAAATATTTTACTTTTGCATTACGTATACAAGGGCAGAGTGCCCAAGCAGCACTTATTTGAACTTCGGGACTTTTGTTATTAAGTTGCGACCACAGTAATCGCACACCATCCAATTCTTCTATAGCTCTAAGATGTATACAATTTATTTGTACGCCAAAGTTAAAATCATATAGTTCAAATGGAAACATATGCTCACTTCATTCCTTCTTCGTTGACAGCACAAGTGCCGACAGCTTGAGTGACATTTACAAGAAGTGTCTGATTTGTTCTTGTTAGAAGCTGTACCATCAATTCTATTCCACCAGCATCCTGAATTTCTTTACTGTTAGCTGGTAATTTGGCACAGAGTCCAAGTCCTCCAACAACATTGATTAAGACCTGTAAACAAATGTTTGTTTAAAATAATCTTTGAATCTTACATTTTTAGCTGTTTCTCAGATTTTCTTACAGCTTCCGGTTGATTCTGAAGAAGATCGACTAAGACGTTAATTACGCTTAATTCTTGTAATTTTACAACATTTTTCATACTGAGAGCACATTTCCATATGGCTCCCGTTACGGCTGCAACTAATTCTTTCTTATCTTTGTTTTCCGGATCCGCAATTAGTTTAACTAATTGTTTTAATCCATCTTGTTTTCCAAGTAATTCTCTTGATTCTTCATCCTCGGCACACTATTGTAAATTTCATTTTAATGTATAATTTAAATAGCAATTTCAAAAAATTTGAAACTTACTTTGAATATTGCAGAAGCACAAAGTTTTTGAAGTTCAATATTTGGTTTATTTAGATGAATAAGGATGTCGTCTAAAAGTCCTTCTGTGCAAATTGCCTGTTGGAAGCTTTTCTGAAATTGTTAATAGAAGTATTTTAATGTTTCTATGTTGAATATTAAACACGTGTGATTAAAATTACCTGAGAAGCACACTGTTGTATCATTCCAATAACTGGAATGAGAATATTGATATGCCGACATTTAATTAAACGGCCTAACAGAGGTACAACTCCGTAACTCGTAACGAGTCTCTTATTTTTTCCGGATCGACAGAGATTCCACAGTGCTAAAGCACCACATCTTGCACCTTCTAACTCTAGTTGGTCTATTGGTTTTGGCTTTTCTGTTCTTAATACTTGATTGGAGACATCTAATAGTTCAATCTACAAATTATTACAAAATGAGAATGGTTTTTAATTTAAACTTGACCCGAATAATGTAATTGAATGGATTTTTCATAAATATGCTTACTAAGTACGGTATTCCTCCTCCTTTTCGGACTATTATTGCAGAACGGTGACAATGGACCACGTTCGCGATAGTTTCAGCCAATAAGCAACGCAATTCTAAACTGGGTTCTGATAATATTTTGACCATAGAATCTAATCCACCTAAACAAATAATCGAATGTCTCATGGCAGGATTAGAAGCGATCTCGCGAAGGACTTTTAATGCTCCTATCTTTAGAAATATAAATAATGTTTTACTCAAAGTAGAATCTGTTTTGATTACTTTATGAGTAAGATAAAATTATTATATACCTGGCAACGTAAAACATCTGTTTCTAGTAAGTTAAGTAACAAAGTTATACAGTTGGAATCTTCTATGACTTTTTGATTAGCTGGAAGGTGCACATCACACTCTTGAAGCAAGCAAAGTGATAAAACAGTATTTGTGCAATCTCCAAACTGAAAATAAATATTTTAGATTGAGCATCAAACTTTTTTACACATTACTCAAGATTTGTATCATTTCTAATAATTGAAAAGTGCTTAAGTTAATTCTACTACTGTTGTTAATATCCGGAGCTGAAGTAAATCCAGGTCCTTTGCAGAAAACACCAACTAAGAGAAGTAGACCAACTCTAAATCGTCAGAAGCAATTAACTACTAACGCAAATCTATCGGAATTGGAGACAAACCTTATTACTGATTACACAGAAATAAGAACAACTGAACCTCAAACTCAAGCAAGTGAGAAACTTAATGTAAACTCTCCGTTAGAACTAATATCTACAAAAGTGGCAGACATTTCGACAACAGACTCGTGGCTAAAAATATTAGACCTAATTACCACCGGTAACGATAAAATGGTGAATCAGTTTTCGTTAATCCAAGAGGAAATTAATACCATTTATAGTGAAATAAATAATTTTAAAAATCAATTGCAACTGGTTAATAATAGGAGATCTTAACTCCCGAATTTCTTAAAAGATGGACTTGGAATATAAAGGACCTAATATGTCGATTCGAAACATTCGAGAATCTAAAGACAAAAAATATAATAAACTAGGAATTCAATTACTAAATCATACACAACAACAACTATATATTCCGAATTTTACGATGGTTTAGCTGTTTTATATGTTGATTTAGCGAACGTCCCTTCAATCCGAAAAAATTCAGAACAAGTATTTATAAAAAATGGATAGGGAAAACAGGTTAGCAACCCTTTCTAAGAAGGTAGAAATGTTGGAACACAATATAAACTATTTCAGATGCTTTTTGAGAGAAGAACATACTCCAATTACCCTTAAATTAAAAAGAACAATAAAAGATATAATACCAAAACATATGATTTGGAAAATTGAAAGAAAAATTATAAAAGCTGTAATCAGGAGTAAAATTAAAAAATGGAATAATTTAAAATACCAATTAAGAAAAGTATTACATTGGTACAATTATAAAGAAAAGCTGTACAAAGGAATTGCTAATAAATATAAATACAAAAACANTATATGGGTTAACGATTTAATCATTAACAAAACAAACATAGAAATTCCTAAATATATAAAACAATTCCTAGCTCTAGGTATAGACTTTAACATACCTATAGATAAAATAACAATTGATTTAATAGCCAATATAGACAAAAGTATAAAGGATCTACCTATTAAAAAAGAGAAGAAAAGTAATCTAATAGGTTCTGTCATTAATGACATAAAACAAATACCCCAAAAAAACAAGTTTAAAGTAAATAAATATAAAACAAATTTAGATAAAACTATTAAATTTTTAAAAACTAATAATTTTTCTATTGTAAAAGCTGATAAAACAAAACAACTCATAATAATAGAAAACAATGATTTAGAAAATAAAACAAAAGAACAAATTAACAACAAACAATATATAAAATTAGATAATAATCCGTATGAAAAAATATAAAAGAACAAATTAACAACGAACAATATATCAAGTTAGATAATAATCCGTATGAAAAAATAAAAAAGATGTAACAAAAATAGTTAAAGATATGTATTTGAATAATAAAATTAATGAAATGGATAAAAATAATAGAATCCAAACACTAAATATACGGTTAAAAACACATAAAAAGAAAAATACAGACCCATAGTAGATTTCAGGTACTCTGTACAATTTAGAAAATTATATTAAAAAACAATTGAAAAATATTGAGGGATCCACAAATACTATAAAAAATGCTGATGAAGTTATTAATATAATTCAAAAAGAAAAAACAGACACATTAATTAGTTTAGACACAAAAAAGATGTACCCAAACATAAAATGGGAATTAACTGAAAAAGCCTAATCCAATTAAAAACAAGCCAAACATTAATGAACCTTATAAAAGAAATTATTTTGAAGCCTGTAACAATTTTTATACACAAACAGATGGGGTCAAATATGGGGCCAAAATCAGCTGAAATAGTAATGAAAGATATTGATAAAAAAAATAGAAAACATTTCCGGTGTAAAAACCGTAATGAGGTATGTGGATGATTACTTATTGATATAACAAATGAGAAGATAATTTTAAATACAATAAATAATATAAACCAAGATATAAAATTAGAAAAATATAATAAAATTAATTTTTTGGATATCACTATAACAAAGGAAAACGAGAAATTTTCATTTAAAACGTATAAAAAACCATCTAATGTAAATAATAAAATTAATTTTTTGGATATAACTATAACAAAGGAAAACGAGAAATTTTCATTTAAAACGTATAAAAAACCATCTAATGTAAATAAAACAATCAGTTATTACTCATGTATCACAGAAGCTATAAAAAAGAAAAGAATACATATATGATGGAATTAAAGATATATACAATCACTATCAGCAAAAATGAACGCAAAACTAAATTAAACGAATTAGATTATAAATTCATCCTCAATAGTTATCCAAAAAGAGTTTTAAAAATTTGACATACACAATATTACAAAAATAGGTTTAATATAAAAAAGATAAAAATTACAAAGCCTTCCCTTACATAACTAATATTTATGATAATTGTTCTAAATTTCTAAAAAAGGACAATATAGTTTTGACCCCATCTTTGACCAATAAAAGCTCACATAAAATTCATAAGGATAAACTAGGAAAATACAAAACCAAAGTTGATAAATTGAAAAAACTGGAATAGTTTATAAAATTGTAACCGTCAAAATCCAAGAAATTATATAGGAGAAATGGGTCGGACTTTAGAATTAAGCATTAAAGAGCGTGAAGCTGCCATAAGATTAAAACATAATAATTCTCCTTGGTTTAACCAATCAAAAATAGTAACTGTCAAATAGATAGAAATAATATTAAAATCCTACACTGTGAGAAAAATATATATAAACGTAAATTCAAAGAACNGGTTATCCGAACAATACCAGTCCCCAATTGATTCGGATAAACGACGCTCTACTGTACATACATAATGGAATTAAAAAAGATATACACAACAACGACCCGACAATAGAATTTAATGAATTAGATCATAAATTCATCCTCGATAGTTATCCAAGAGAAATGTTAAAAATTTGGCGCACACAATATTACAAAAACAGATTTAATATAAAAAATAAAAATGAGGGGAAAAAATTACAAAGCCTTCCCTTACATAACTAATATTTACGATAACTGTTCAAAACTTTTAAACAAAGATAATGTGATTTTGGCCCCATCTTCGACTAATAAAATTTCAGAGACTATTCGTAAAATAGGAAAACATAAAACTGGCACTGTCAGAATCCGAAAGAATACGTAGGGGAAACAGGAAGGACATTAGAATTACGTATGAAAGAACATGAAGCTCCATAAGACTAAAAAGTTACTATATAATTTATACGTTATAAGGTAGCAAGCGGTGCCTCTTTTACAATACCCTTTGAGTAATTTTATAAGATGGTAAAAATATTGTAAACGGGACTAAAAGTACCGTATAAGTGTGAAAATTAGATCATACGAAACTCAAGGAAACTCTCAAGGTATTACGAAATGTGTTTTGAATTTGTTGTAACATTATCTAGCTAGTAAATTAACCTAGCTCGAAATGCATCTGTAAAAAACAATAAAAGGAGTTTATAACCCGAATTGGCTGCGAGGTAGTCTACCGGAAAGATTTCTTCGGACTGAAGAGACGTTCACTAAATCAACAACTATATATATTAAATGGGAGAATAAGAAAAGATTATCCATCAGAATTTACTTGTGTAACTAATTCCATATTCGACATGACAATATGCTCCGAATTACTAACAGATCAGTGCACAGAAATTCGAGTATTAAATTGCGATCTAGCATATCGTTTTCCAGTTAGAACTACTATTGAAGTGGCAAAAAGTCAGGTTTATAAAAGCAACTCCTTACCAAAAAACTTACTACCAAAACAAAGGAGAACAAATCCTTATACAATTTAGGAAATTTTCCTCAACTGGAACACTTAATAATTACAAAAAATTATAAACAGTATATTTTAATTTATTAAAATTCTTCAAAAATGTACAACAGCCGATGATTACAAATAAAAATAACGAAATCTTTTTGACTGCAATACAAAGATTACGGAAAAAGGATCCAGAACGACATTCGTGTATAGAGTCTCCATCTTGGTCTCTTTATTTTAAAATATTTCCTGTTATTGATAAACTACCAATTATGGAGCTAACAAATCCGAAAAATGAAATTTTAGATCCTGTGTTCACTTACGAAGACCTGGTAGACTCAATTAACAAATTGAAATCAAAATTTCCATTTATAGAACGAACATAGTCCGTGGCGATCAAACTTACCCAGAAATAACAATAAACCGTGGAATACTCCAACGAGAAATATTCAACAATTTAGAGACCGATTGGCAATACGGTTATACACTAATGATCGAATCAGCCTTGTCGCAATTAATAATAAAGGATCAGAATTCATTGATGAAATCGGTTTACCATCCTTGGTATCTAAGTACCCTACAAACTCCAACATTATATGAACATGAAAAGGCTATTACTTCAAATTAGACTCAACAAATATTCACTATTCATCAACAATACTTATATATATTTTACTAAAGAACATTGTTATTGGTGCAATTCCAGTGTTAATTACAATATATTAATTAATTTTAATTAATTATTGTCATATTATTATGTAAGACTTATAATACTACTATTGTATTTAAAGAAATGTATTTACGAATAATGGTTAAATACTATATGTAAACTTAAATATTGTTATAAAAATAACCCCCTGTAACAAGGTTCTCCTTAAAACAAATAAATTTTGTTGTTATATTTATTTTAGATTTAAAATAATATTTTATAAAAGAAGGCAGATTCAACAGAAAACTGGAAAAGTTCCATTAAAAGTTGAAAGGGTGAGCAATAGCATAATTTTGACACGCGTCAGAGGTAACCAATTTGCAACAATTGGTGCATGAGAACAAGACAATAGAC